ATACATTTTATTTTATCAATAGAAGAAAGTGTTCTTATTTCATATGTGGTTTATTGCTTCATATATATATATTACATGTGAATTGTCCGGATGATACAAATCTTTAAAAGATCAAAATCATCAAAGTATTCCCTACATAGGTAATATTAATTGGGCAATAATATTACATAATAGGAATAATAAATGCCTCCGTAGAATATCATGTGATGGTATTAGTGTGGGTGATTATAAAAGTTATATCACTAGGGCATTAGCATGGATACGTGGTTAGTGAACTGTTTATCGAATATGGCCATTTATGATGAATCACATGGACATTAAAATGTAGTCAATGATTTATCATAAAATCGTACTAGTGTATTATTAATATCCTTAGACAATATCACGAGTGGATTCTGCATAAACGTAGTGGTTTATATGGTGTATAAACACGAGGCTAATCATGCCATGTGTTAATAAGCCGATTTGGCCATGTGTTGTTTATTGGTAGGACAAGTGATAGTCAAGATGAGATCCGTTGACTTGATATAGATTATATCAAGTTCTTGACAAATGTCAAGAAACATTGAAAAATGGAAATCTCTGCCAGGTATATAAAATGTTACATGAAAGGTTGTTTCATAGTGACACGTTCCATATGTATTGAATTAAAATTAAGATAAGGATTTTGACATACCATGAATCCATTCTTAATTGGGATTAGATAATGGAAGGATTTGATTATACAATGTGTATGATTGTAAAAGGTTCGTTGGAGTTTATCTTCATTGTGACTTAGGGGTTGGAGCACTGTTAGATGCTTACCATAATCAGTGGGAGTTTATTCATAAAGAATTATGACAAAACATATCAAAGTAGTCTATGATATGGCCCACGGCTAGGCCACAGTGAACCTAAGAGGTCACACATAAAAACTAAGGAGAATTGAGAAATAGCCAAAGAGAGTTGATTATCTAAGGTTGGCTAGCATCTACCGAGGGCAATGAAGTTATTTATATTAATCATTTTTTATATTAAATTGGATTTTATAAGGGGTTGTAATTGTAAACATATAAACAATTTAAGGGTTAAATTGTTATGTAAACAATTTAAGAGTTAAGTTGTTATTGTGATTAAATGTTAACCCGATATTATATTTAAAGAAATTTAACAACTTCATAACAATTATGGAATGTTTTAAAGAAGTCCAAAACAATTATTAATTGTTTACAAGGATTCCTATCTAAAGAAAATGATATATCAATTTTAGAGTAGAGAAAAAAAAAAATCTCTAAGAACCCTAAATCTCTCTCTTGGCCAAATTTCTTCTTCCCTTGGTGTGGATACTCTTATGCTTAATTTCTCTTGAAAATTAAGAGTCTCCAAGGTTGCTAAGGACTTAAGGTAACATGTTCTATCTTACTTATTTCAATTTGATTGAATTTTTTTTTTTTTTTATAACTATGACTATACTTGTTATAGTATGATATGCTTGATCTCCATGCATCCATCTTTCATTTCTCACTTGATCAGAGATATTGATCCAAACTTCCAATTTGGCAACCAGGCTTCCCTTTTTAGCACTAATTCAAAAGCCCTAGCCTTCTCTGTCACCCCCTTACAAAAGCCCCACATCCACGTCTGGTCGTGTCGCGAATGCATCCACTGCCCTTTTGGTTGTTGCGCGAGCTGTCAGATTGAGAGCCATTGGAATTTTTTGGAGGATTTTGATTGTATTTGAGTCCTTTGCTGTTGTGGATTGATTGTACAAATTTCCCGCCAATTTCCCTGCCACACCACCAATCCACTCCTTTAAAACCCCACAAACTGTTCAATTTTTTGCCCTAGCCAGCAAATCTGGCCTAGACCACGTTATGAACCTCTACCACCTCCTGGCAGGCGATACCGATCGAAATCAACTCCTAACCTAGGATCTCGTCGGGATCTCTGACCACGGTGGTTGAGGTGGAGGCAAGTGAAAAGAAATTTGAGATATGGGTTAAATTTTGAGATCCAGGGTTACTTTCTAATTTTCCTAATTTGGGGTTAAAAATAATTTATAAATTTATTTATTAAGGGGGTATAGTAATAATACGTTTTGTACATGTGTTTAAAAATTGGCAAAACCAGGAGTAGGAACTGGGTATTTCCTTTACCTTGGGTGGGAACATGTGTTTGCTCAGAAGTGGTTATTAGACTTTTGACTTTCGACTGTAAAAGGAGACAAAATGGTTTCACACTTTATATATGTCTATCCACTACGAGGTTATGCTGTTATTATTACAACAATTAGAGATAATGACTGTTATCTATAATAAATAATAATTAGTAACCCGACAACGCCATTAATTTTTTTCATTCTATTTGAGGACAGAAGAACTTTGTCTTATGGTGTTGAATTAATTGAAATTTTTTTTTTTATGATCAGGATTTAATTAATTTGTCACTAATTCAATTAATCTTTAAATCATAAATATTATTCGGATAAGTTCTATTGACTATATCTGTTAGTAATCGAAAAATATTAAATACATACCTCTTAAATAATACATTAAAAGTTTTATCAAACCACTTGTTATCCAGAGATGTTAATTAAATTTTTTTACTATAATATTAATTAATTTGAATAAGTTATATTTATAGATGAATAATTAAAATTTAAACAGTTTATGGTAAAAATTAATTTCTAAATATTTAAAATTATAAAAAAAAAAAATGACTTGGCATAGAAGCAAAATGATGATATCAAATTCATGGAATGTTATCTGCTAAAACATTAACTTAAAACAAGGAGGCAAACCAGTCATAATATTAATTATTTTAATTAACATGTCAAAAACATAATATTAAAAAATAATTATAATAGCCGTTAACAGGACCGACATTGCCCCCCAGAATTATTGGTGGGGTAGGTGATTTTGAATACGAATAATTAGAATTTAAAGTTGTGACGCATGAATATTAGCGCATGCTTAGGTTAAAACTCTAATTAATTAATTATGTATTTATTATAAATAAGCTAAAATGTAATGATATATTCATCCAATTTCGTGACCTTATCTCCAAAATTCGATAAAAGGATAACGTGCGAATAAATACAGAGACATGTGACATTTATGTATTTTTTTATTTTTAACATAATCTTCATTAATTGAGATTTTCGTTAAGATCAAAACTTCTAGATAAAATATTATTCATTTCAATTCCAATGGGTTCAGTTAAGGCCCGTTATGTGCCCTAAAACATGCTTCCTCTTTGCCAGCTACTACACCGTTTTGATTTGACTCCCTTCAAAGTCAAAAAACATAAATAACATTCGCTTCTCTGTCATATTTCGGCGGCCCTCCCATACCACACAAGCGAAATCTACGGCTTCAAATTTCATCTGACGCGTGTCCTCTTACTAGACGTGGAAGCCAATCTAGATTTTAACAATTACTGTTCACTTCCACGTGGCGGGTAACAGTGCTGGTTTGCACCGTCAATGTAACGTGATCTGTCTACGATATCCGACAGGTAGGAGTAGACAACCAGTTGGTGGAGCACGTGATATCCACGCCACGTGTCGAGCGTAGGGATTTAGTCATGTGCTTGGCCGCGTGATTAGTTGGGTAAAGAGCAATTTGCCGAGTTGGAGGGCACTGCACCGAGTTTGAGTGGGCAGCAATCAGCGGGTGACATGTGGCACATAATGGCGGTGGGAGTTGAGATTAGAAACGGTAAACACGGAAAGCGGAGCTGAGAATGTTCTCTTCTTTGGCCAACCTTTCATTGGGAACGAGACAAGCCCACAAAGGCCGAAACTTATCAAACTAAAGTGGAACAAGTTCCTATAAGTTGATTTTTCTTCTTTTTATTATTATTTTTATTTTTTATTTTCTTTTTGACTTATCCACACCACAGAGATATAACTTTAATTTGAAAAGATTCTGAAAGGAAATTATTATGATTACAATCTTATTTTTAATGTCATGTGCCTAATATTTACGTAAATTAACAAAATAAAATAGAAATAAATGATACACATGACCAAAATAAATAAATCAAAGATCTTAGTGATTTTTATTCATGGTTATGGGTAATGTTTCAATTAAATATAAGTTGAGTAGGGTGCAAGGCAATCTCAAATTTAGAGAATAACTATTGGTTAACTAAACGATCAATTAAAATTTTTGGATATATTACTAAAAAAGTCTTGAATTCGATCAATTTATGTTGCTAATAAGGGTGATTATTGAGGGAATTTATTTGACTATTAACTTAAAGGTCATGGAATATTAATTAAGGTGCATGTAAATTGACCCAGATACTTCGATTGGAAAAAAAAAAAAAAAAAAAAATCTTAGAATTGGAGAGACTTTGGACCAAGGTTGGCAACTTCCATGTCGTTTAAGGATTCAGGTGCAGTCGTTTTCTGCAGAAGAACTGACCGACAAGTTAAGGAGGCCCCAGACTATAGTGAGTTAAAAACCTAACGGACATTGTCAAAAAATCTGAAATTGTGGACAAAGATTACTTTCAGTCAGCTCGTTCCTGTTTGACCCGTGGACAAATTTTGGGAAGTTGACACGAAGCATCCCAGAAATAAACCACTTCCAAACATGTTGAACGGATCAGCGGAATTACAATTTATTGCATTTTTTTTTAACAGAACGTGGCCATATATGATTGGTAGAGAGCAGGATGAGAGGAAGAGACTGGTTGCAGGAGATGACCACCTTCGCGGACTTTAATTGAATCGAAGAACAAACGACCAAAGTCCAACGTGAATGATTCCATTCAAAGCCCATCCCATGCCCTCTGATTTCAATAGGCGCATTTTCCTTCCTTATTCAACGCAACAATACACACCATAGCCACCTTCTTAGTTAGGTGAAATGGATAAGCTTCATTTTTTTTCTTTCGAATTTTTAAATTTATATAATAAAAAAAAAAAAAAAAAAAAAAAAAAAGAGTTTTCAGAAATTTTAAAATCCTACCACGCCACCGCTACTTGCAAAATTCCTTGTTCTTCATTCCACACTTTTTCTTCTTATCCCTAAGCGCCCTTATATATACAACTCACCTCCCTCTCTCTCTTGTTCAAACCAAAAACTCTTAAAACTCTAAGGTTAACAAAACACGAAAACGATTCCGTTTCAATTCTTTTATTACCTCCTCCTCCAACATGGTTGATTTAGATTGTAAAGCCAAGATGCCAAGCAAATCTCCGAAACTCTCAAACAAGCTTCGTGTTTCTATTCCGGCGCCGTTTCGTGGCGCTACTAAATCACCTGTTTCTTGCTCCGACTCGGCTTGTTCGGCTTACGAGCAGTATCTTCGGCTTCCGGAGCTTAGCAAACTATGCAGCTCAAGAGAATTTCCAAATTGGAAAAACGAAGCCGTTTTGAAACCTGCTTTACAAGCTTTAGAGATCACGTTTCGGTTCGTTTCAATTGTTTTATCCGATCCTAGGCCGTATGCCAACCGATGCGAGTTCAAGCGGCGGCTGGAGTCATTAGCAACCTCTCAGATTCAGCTCGTAGCTAATTTATGCGAGGAGAAAGACGGCTCGGCTCCGATCGTTGACTTGACCACGATCGACGGCGTTTTGACCCGCGACGGGAGCTCCGCGCAGGTATGGAAGCTTCCAGGCGGAGAGTCAAGCTTCGTCAACCGAACAAGCGAACACAGCTTGCTTCCTCGTCTCGCCACGTGGCATAAATCTGAGGATGTGGCGGAGAAGATCATGTACACCATCGACTGCGAGATGAGACGGTGTCCGTACACTCTAGGTGTAGGAGAGCCAAACCTGGCCGGCAAGCCGAACCTCGAGTACGACGCCGTTTGCAGACCAAACGAACTCCACGCTCTAAAGAAGAACCCGTATGATAACGTTATCGACAATCACGAGAACCAAACTCTATACACGACGCACCAGATTCTAGAGGCATGGATATTCACAGCACAAGAGCTCCTAAAACGCATCGTGTTAAGAATCGAAAACAAAGAATTCGAACAAGCATCGAACGACTGTTATTTACTCGAGAGAATCTGGAAACTACTAGCGGAAATCGAGGACGTCCACGTGTTAATGGACCCGAGCGATTTCTTAAGACTCAAAAACCAGTTATCAATCAAATCCGAATCCGAATCCGACCCGTTTTGTTTCAGATCACGTGGATTAGTCGAGATCACGAAACTTTCTAAAGATTTGAAGCACAAGGTTCCGTTAATTTTGGGGGTGGAGGTGGACCCCAGCGGCGGGCCCAGGGTACAGGAGGCAGCGATGAGATTGTATAGTGAGAAGAAAGATAGCGTGAAGATTCATTTGCTTCAGGGATTACAGGCTGTGGAGGCGGCGTTGAAGAGGTTCTTTTACGCGTATAAGCAGGTGCTGGTGGTGGTAATGGGGAGTCTGGAGGCAAAAGCAAACCGAGTGGTGGTGAGTGCGGAGTCGTGTGACTCGTTGAGTCAGGTGTTTCTGGAGCCGACTTATTATCCGAGTTTGGATGCGGCCAAGACGTTCTTGGGAGAGTTTTGGAGTCATGAAAAGAAACAGTGAGCGAGTTACTATAGAGATTTTTTATTTAAAAAAAAGAGTATAATGTTTGAATTATTCTTTGTAAAATATATAAAATTTTGAGGCATTTATATTATTGTATCATTAGTTCATTTTTAATGAAGTTGTAAACTATGTTCATATTAATTGAAATGTTGATTTATATATACTATTGTTTTAAAATTCCAGGTAACAAGTAGAAAATGGAACAAATCATAAATTAAGCTCTCTCTTGCACGCCTTTTTTTTTTGGTTGGGTGATTGGGGGTTTACAGATTAATTTAAATGTATTTCGATTAATCTTCTAAAATCCTTAAATTAATGATTGGATAATTGAAATACTCAACGTTGATGTTAAATAAATATTGATCGTATATCATACTACACTTATTTTATTATCTACCTAAAATTATCAGTCCAAATTTCACTTTCCTAATATCTCTATAATATTTTTATTGATTTTTTTTTTTGTTTCCTTATTGAGATCATGCAGGTTTGTCATTTGTCTTTAAGCCGAAAGTGAGATGAAGGCATGGCTAAATTCAATCATGCATTATTCGAAGGATCAAATCCTAGGAAGATTTTTGCTTTTAATTTCACAATTTATTTTTTTTATTTTTTTTATTTTTTTATTGATTTTGGTGGTCCTTACCTTCTCCTAAATCAAATCCATCAAAAACCCTTTCATTGATGCCTAAAATTCATGTATAATGTGGCCAATTATTTGAAACATTATTAAATTTGATAACTCGAAATCTTTTAGTTTGTGGGTTCTTCACCAACCACCACCCAATCCATTACATTAGATTTTTAATCAGGGGCCGTACTAAATAGTGGTTATCTAAAGCTATATTATATATTATCCTCATTTGTTTTGGAACTTATATTAAAACTATACTCCCACACCCCACCCCCCCACCCATTCGTATTTTGTTTGTTTTTATTTAGTTTTTTAGTAATTTTATGAGGTGGACAAAGGGTCTTCAATCTTGCACAAATTGTGTAGTGAAATCTCTTGGCTTACCTTTAATTCTATGGCTATATTCATTTAACTGTGTTATGTTCCTTCCAAAATGTCAAGTTGGCAAGGGGCAAATTGTAATGATAAGGAATTATGGGTGGCTCATTAAATATGAAATTGACAACTAATTGTACACACTGAGATGATGAAAAAAAAAAATCTTATAATTTTCAAATACGAAAATTCTTTAATAAAATGGTTGCTTATATATATTTGTTCAAATGTGTCATGTGTTAGGGCCAAAAATTGTCATTGGCCCAAATAGGAACAGGACCACCAGTAGGAAGAGACTAGGCCCAATCCCAAAGAGGCCCAAGCCAATTAGTCTTTTGATACGAGATACGGCCTGCCCAAGCCATCTGGGCAAGGCCTCCAAGTTTCCAGCTCATTTCCTGGGCCTATAGGCGAGTTCAGAGCCCACAGCCCCCACTGATCACTTTCTTATTCCTGATCAATCTTCTATTCGAAATCACTTTCCTACTCAAAGTGGCTTTCCTGTTCAGATCACCTTCCTATTCGGACGCTGGTAAGACAGCTCACCACCGCCCTAACTCTTCTAGGGTTTGCATCAGAGTCACACTAGGACTCCTACTCCCACTAGGATTGGGAGACCAGACAGTTGCTATATAAACAGAGGTCAGCCCTCTCACAAAGGACACATGACATTACACCTTCACACATAAAGCTCCTACTTGAGAGCTTCACATCACCGCCGTAGTCACAGTCTCCGACTAGACTTCCACTAACCTCTCTACTCCCTAGCCCTTACTATACTAGCCCCTTCAGCCTTGCTGACTTGAGCGTCGGAGTGCCTACGGCAAACACCACTCCGGTGTTTCCTGTACGCTTCACGCGTTTGTTTCTCTACGTGTGCAGGTGTAGCGGATCGTTAGTGTCCTCAACCTCATGGGATTATACCCCCCTTCCGTACAGGTAGATTTTTACATCTACAGTTTGGTGCCCACCGTGGGGCCTCTAGCAATCATTCGGCTCGACGAACCTTGCTACGTAGATGAACTTACCATGGCTGACCATTCAGACAATGCTAGCCCTAGCCTCGAGGCCAAACTGGAGGCTCTGACCGCCCTCATGCAACAGAATTCAGACAAGGTGGCCACACTGGAAGCTGAGAACAATGCAATCCAGACTGAAAACGCATCCATCAGGGCAGAAAACCAGTCTCTTAAAGAGAAGGTGAGTCAATTCCATGATCTAGAGTTTCTACCTGGCCAGGTACCTCCCAATCGGTTTCGCGCCCTTGTTCCATCCATGCAACCTTTCCACACACCAGAGCACCGACCCTCGGTCTACGGTAAAAGGCCACGGCCATTAAGCTCATCGACGGTCGACGATTCTGTCCTGACTCATAGAGATAAAGATATGCCAATAGAACACCATTCAGCCGATCCATCCCAACCTCGAGATCAAGATGATCTAGCGACAGAAAGCCTGCACCCGCAAGACCAACCCAATCTTACCATCCCACCTTACCTCCAGTCAACCATCCCAACACAAACCCCATTCAGCTCGGCTCGGCTCGGCTCACCCTTACGGGTTGAACGACCAAACCAAACAAACTACAACACTCGAGCCCATCCATCCTGATACACCGAATGACTATCAGACGACTCCCATGACCATTCATGTAGGGCGAAACACCAGAACTGTTACCATGGGAGTCATCCAACCAGAAGGAATGAACGAAGATTCATGCTACCAGGGAGTGCACGAAGGGATGACCCATCAGACTACCCTGCGAGGGATGACCCAACAGAATGTACCGAGGACTAATGCAATGGCAGACCCAGTCAGACGGGACGACCCAGTAGTATCCCCCTCTCTTATGGAACAGGTCTTGGCCAAGAGGTTGGCCGATGTGGAAGCAGTGATGAGACACATTCCAGGAATGCAGATCCCATCCAAGAAGACCAGGCCCTACTGCTACGCGGATTCACCCTTTGTGGATGAGATCGCCCTAGTCGACATACCTCAGAAGTTTGTCATCCCCAACATGAAACTGTACGATGGCACAACCGACCCGGACGATCACATAGCCTCGTATAAGCAGCGGATGTTCACTGTTTCAATACCCCGACCACTGAGGGAAGCCTGCATGTGTAAGAGTTTTGGTTCAAGCTTATCCGGTCCAGCACTCCAGTGGTACACAAATCTCCCGAATAGTTCCATCGACTCATTCGCTCAGCTCACCGACACCTTTGTGGAGCAGTTCGCCAACAGCAAGAAACTCGAGAAGCTGTCGGCCGATCTATACAGAGTATACCAGAGGAGGGGAGAGCCACTGAGAGAGTATGTCAGCAGGTTCAACAAATAGAAGATTTCCATCCCTTCCTGCAACCTTGAGACAGCCGTAGACGCCTTCAAAAAATGTCCTCCCGGATGGTGAACTGTACAAAGAACTGACGAAGCTAGGTTGCACCACGATGGAAGACGCCCTGGCCAGAGCAACGATTCAAATAAGGTGGGAGGAAGATGAGATGAATCAGGCAATTCACGCTGGGTATGACTGAATGCAGAACGATAGGAGGCGAGGCCAGAGCTCAGATCGATTGTAGGCCCTACAAGATCACCAAAGAAACAGGGAAGGGTGCCTACCTGCTCCAAACTCCTAAAGGCAAAGACATTAGAAACAGTTGAAACGTAATCCATCCCACACGCTACTACTTTTACGTGAAATTAATCTAAATAGTTGTCTTTTCATTTTTTATATAAAAAGGATGAGTGGGCCCATCCACCGCCTTCATAGACAGTCGGTCTCACGGCCTGAATTCAATAAAGCATTATTCAGCAACTGACACCTGCGAATCAGCCTTGCCCGATTCATGAGTTTTCACACTTCGGATTGACCCTGCTCGATCAAATGTTTGTTACACCATTGGATCGACCCTGCTCGATCCACGGAATTACACATTCTGATCGACCCTGCTCGATCCACGAATTTACATCTTCGAAATCGACCCTGCTCGATCAAATGTTAATTACACCTTTGGATCGACCCTGCTCGATCCACAGATTTGCACCTTCAAATCGACCCTGCTCGATCAAATGTTTGCTACACCTTCGGATCGACCCTGCTCGATCCACGGAATTACACCTTCGGATCGACCTTGCTCGATCCACGGATATACATCTTCAGATCGACCCTGCTTGATCAAATGTTTGTTACACCTTCGGATCGACCCTGCTCGATCCACGGATTTACACATTCAGATCGAACCTGCTCGATTCCTTTGGGTCGACCTTGCTCTATTCACGAATTTTTTACACCTTCTGGTCAACCCTGCTCGACCCACGGATTTACACCTTCGAATCGGCCCTGCCCAATCCATGAATTTACACCATCGGATCAGCTCTGCCCGATCCACGACTCATACATTCGAATCAGCCCTGTCCGATCCAAGAATTCACACCTTCAGATTGACTTCACTCAATCCAGGAGACTACATACTCGGTCAGCCAGACCGAGTGAATGGTTCTTACACCTTCAATCAGCAAATCACCAACCTAGCCCAACATGAGGCTTACATGCCTTAGCCACTGGGCCGCACTAAAGTCACAAACACAACATAGTGCATCTACAAGTAAAGAAGCAATAAACAACTCATTCATCCATGAAGAAAGCATCAAAAGTTAAAACAGCCAAGTATAATACATACAGCCTCAAACGGCTCAGTTCAGAATACAAAAAAGGCACACACGCCAAGAAAAAAGAGCATCGCAGGCCCCAAAATACAAAGGAAAACTAAGCTAAGTTTCCTCAGTACGAGTCGCCTCCTCCATCTCCGACTCCGTTGTCATATCTGCACCGCCAGCACCCGTCCCAATAGCCTGGTCGCTCGCATCCCCAGCACCCGATAGCCCTGACTGACTGACAAAGTCAGGCACCTGCTCCTCGTCCTGCCCCCCCGGATGACTGTCTCCCTCTTCCAGCAACTCCCGCATGAGCTAGATGTCTTCATCCGGATCCCAGTGAGAGGTCCTCCCTTCCTTGAACTCAAGCATGAGTTCACCTCAGGCCTTGGTGATAGCGTCATCGGCAATGGAAATGCACTGCTCCTTGAGAGACTCGACCTCTGCAGTCCTCTCGGCCAACTCATGCCTCAACCTCTCCACCTCATGCTCGCTATCCCTGAGGCACTGCTGACTCTCCTGCTCAGCCTTCTGGGCTGCTACCCCCCAATCAGCTGTAGCAACTGCACCCATCTAGTTAAAACACGCCTCGTCCACCGGGAACAAATAAGAGTCGGCCAGCTTACTCATGGCAGTTGCGTTAGAGTAATTCAACGCAGTAGCCAGAATCTTGAATGTAATCATCCCTGCCTCATCATCCATGATCGCAGTCTGGGACGATTTAGCTCCGACCATAGACTGCTAACTCGGCGGCGTCGCTAACACATCTTCTGCTCTCCTGTCCTCCCTGGCCAATGACTCCCTCCTCATTTTCTCCTGATGCTGGGCGATGGACTCGCTCGCACTCAGGACGGTCAACTTCTTCATCAGTGTCTCTGTAAGCGCAAACTCTCCAACGGTTAGTGGGTTCAGCCCGGACTCACCAAAAATGATATGATTGCAGTATCGACTCAGAAGCACATCCCAAGTCTGCTTCAGCGAGGGGAAGGGAGTACCTCGTTGAACTGCCTCAACTCTAGCCCAGAGAATGCCGGTCCTCAGGTTGGACTCTGCTAGCCTACTTGCCAATCCCTCTGCTCTGATGGGATGGCTAACACCTTCTAGGTCGCAACGTCCAAGCCCTCTCCGCTCTGCCCAGCTCGATTGTACTCAAGCTCTGCAAACAAAAAACACAATCAAGAACAAAAGAAACAACAAAGTTCTCACCGGTAGCTCGCCAGCAGCTCGGGATCTCGCCCTGTCCCTTCTCTCCAAAGACAGCCTGACCCCTCAGGAAGAAGTATCAGTCCTTCTAGTTTTTATCGCTGGACCGCAGATCAGTCACTAGGTGAGACCGATCATGCCTCAAGTTCAGTAGATACCGACCCTTCTCCTTATCATTCTCCTTCAGGAACTACGAGTATAACAGCTCGTGCAGCCCGAACCTCACCTAGTTCTGAACACACAGGTCCTCCAGAGCCATCAGTAATCTCCGACCATTCAGCATGAGCTGAGACGGGGCAATCATGAAATGGTTCAAAATCTCCCAGACGAGACGAGGGATAGGTAGCCTCAATCCGTCATGAAACCACTTATCGTAAACACTAACCCAACCCTATGCCTCTTAGTCGACTCGCTCGTATGACCGCGACATTCGGATCTCAACCGAAATTAGAATATGATACAGAGTTCGGATGCACCATGCATCATTGTCCTTCAGCACGGGAGGATAATTCCTTGTCAAAATCCCACTGCCCTATTGGCTCAACTCTTCCTTAGAGCTACTACTAGACAGAGACAGACTATCGGCCGGAGTCTTCCCCACTTCTCCCATACCTGCCCGAGCCACTCGGGCCAGCCTCACTCGTCTTTGGGGCAGCTACACTAACTCTAGTTGGTACGCCCATCGGAACGCCACCCTCGGGCATCATCACTATGGTAGGGGCACGCTCATACTCATCCCCTGTGACTGCCACAATCCCGCTCGAACTAGCTGATTCGGAGTCTGACATGTTGGCTTGATCGCCCAATTCGACCGATCGACTCGATCCTTCCTCCTAAATTCCCAAAAAACCTAAGTGTCAAGCGACCACTCGCCCTGAGCTACCGACCGAACGAGGATACGATACCCAGCTATCACTCGTCCCTCAGCACCGGTCGACCTATCACCGTCAACCACTTGTGAACTCTTATGAAGCCTGAACTCCGATCGACCCCCACTACCAACCGAACCAATACCAGATCCAATAATCTCCCCCCGATTGCCCCAGGCGACCGACTCGCCTTCAAGCTCCACCCTATGAATCTACATGTCCTCGATCACCGACTCACCAATTCAAGTATTAGCTTACCAAACCACCCACTCGGTCGGATGGACCAGATGACCTACCTATTCCACTTATCTGTCACCTACAATCCAGATTCACCCTAGCCACTTGATTCGGTCAGGTATACCGACCGAGCCGAATCAAAATGCTACTTAACTCGACTTCGTCTTCCCTTTTTCCAGAAAACCGAAAACAATCGCCAAAAACTCACAAGAAATCCAAAAATCCGAGCCTATTCTAGAAAACCAATACTTCACACTTCTAAACTCCTCAAAACCAGTCAAAACTATTCCAAAAAATTCAAAAACTTCACCCTATCATCCAAAAACCCAGCAAACAACGAAAACAAACCAAAAATCAGTCCAAGGGAAAGAAGATTTACCGTAAAACGATACACTGCAGAGAGAAGGCCACCGTCACTCAAAGAAACCGAAACGAAAAGAAGAAAGGAAGAGGAGAAAATTTTCAAAATGCAGATAAAGGGAAAACGGAAATGGAAGACGAAGAGTTTGTGAACTCGTTTTTATAAAAGAGATCTGACCGGCGACCCATGAGTGGCCGAAGATTAGAAAGACTCCTCGTTTTCCCGCCCCCAGAACGAAGATGGCAGGAATCCTGGCAACCTAGGAAACTGTAGTGTCGTACGGATGACACATTCGATCGTCCGAACACCTCGACCGAGCCAGCACGCAACCGCCAGATTGGACCCAACATGCATCCAATCTTCACAAGCCCAGGAGGTCCTCCCGACTGGCCGATCAGCTTGGAACGGCCCAGCCCGCAATCGTTCTCCAGACGACCAAACTAGGATGCCCCGCTCATTCGTTCTTCCGTAGCGGACGAGTAGTCAACCCTGGTCGAGACCCGCACTTTACATCCACTCGATCGCCCATGTACTCCGACCGAGTGAACCTTTAATTCAATATGGTCCCTAAACTCAGTCGACCCAGCATGCTGAGGGAACACCCCGACTATAGTATTGTAGCTCACCTCTCTAGTCGGCCGAACGAGCGCGTGAGCCCCGAAGCCTGGTTGTCTCTTTCCCTTCGGCCCCTTACATCGATCAAGCACACCACTTTGCAATGATGGCATACTCCGGATCAGGAATGGATACCGAACGACACCCGACCAAGAGTCACCTGCAACAATCAGATCATCCACGCCGACAATCGTTCGTCCAGGAAGGAAGACCGAGCGCACCTCGATCGCTACCTACTCTCTGACTTAATAAACTCTTAACTCAAAAAGTGGGGTACAAACTGTTAGGGCCAAAAATCATCCTTGGCCCAAATAGGAAAACAGGACCACCAGTGGGGAAGAGACCAAGCCCAATCCCAAAGAGGCCCAAGCCAGATTAGTCCCATTTGATACGAGATACAGCCTGCCCAAGCCATCTGGGCACATGCCTCCCAGTTCCAGCTCACTTCCTGGGCCTATAGGCGAGTTCAGAGCCCACGACCCCCACTGATCACTTTCCTGTTCCTGATCAATCTTCTATTCGAAGTCACTTTCCTATTCCTGATCACTTTCCTACTCAAAATGGCTTTCCTGTTCAGATCACCTTCCTATTCGGACGCTGGTAAGACAGCTCACCACCGCCCTAACTCTTCTAGGGTTTGCATCAGAGTCACACTAGGACTCCTACTCTCACTAGGATTGGGAGACCAAACAGTCGCTATATAAACAGAGGTCAGCCTTCTCACAAAGGACACATGACATTACACCTTCACACCTGAAGCTCCTACTTGAGAGCTTCACATCACCGCCGTAGTCATAGTCTCCGACTAGACTTCCGGTAACCTCTCTACTCCCTAGCCCTCACTATACTAGCCTCTTCAGCCTTGCTGACTTGAGCGTCGGAGTGTCTACTGCAAACACCACCCCGGTGTTTCTCGTACGCTTCACGCGTTTGTTTCTCTACATGTGCAGGTGCAGTGGATTGCTAGTGGCCTCAACCTCACGGGATCAGACCCCCCTTCCGTACAAGTAGATTTTTACGTCTACATCATGTTACATCGAAACATGCGACATACACTCTTCTCATAAGGGCAAAACTAGGGCAATCTTTTAAAATTTAAAAAAAAAAAAAATGATCAATTTAACTCCTATAAATTCAATTTCTTAATTTTGACCCTTTATATTTTTTAAATTAACTGTAAACGACATTAATTTAACTTGTCAATTGTCTTTAAGGTCTTCATTTGTTGATGAAAAAATATAGAACACAATGGTGAAATATAGAATACAATGACGAGATTACTACCTTCTAGTGAATTTGTGTCATTCATGACCTTTTTTTCTCTCTTCTATATTTTTAAATTAATTGTGATGGATAATTATTAAATATAATGCACGGTCTTATAGTATCACGTTAGTCATACCTGTATGATACCATAGACTTTCTCTCGTGATTTATGTCAAATGATAGAGAATTTTGAGTCCATTTGAGGAGAAAAACAAATGCCCATTGAGATCAGAAATCTTAGGCCCATTTAGAGCCCATTTGGTAATGAGAAAAGAAAGAACATGAAAATTTTAGGCCCATTTGATGATGAGAAAAACAAGAACCCAATTGACATGAAAATCTTAGGCCCATTTGGAGCCCATTTGATGATGAGAAAAGGAAGAACCCAATTGACAAGAAAATCTTAGGCCCATTATGGGCCCATTTGAAGATGAGAAAAAGAAGAAAGAGAGTGACAGATGTGAGCAGAAATGGAGAGCAGCCAAAAATTAAGGCGTTGAAATATCAACAAGAGTTTAAATTTGATATTGTTTATAAATACAATATTTGATACAGAGCAAAACGCGGTTGAATCTCCTTCACTCTAGCATGGCATGTGACTCGGAACCCTAAAACAAACTCCAAATCCCATTACACCAGGTGTCCTTCATTCCAACATTTGACTCTCCACGTGCCTTCACTCACAAGCTTCTTTAACGTACCCTGTCACTTTCATTTCACTGTAAGAGAAGATGTTCCAGGAAATGAAAGATCGCTTTTTCTTCTTTCTCATTAAGAGAATGCATAAATCTTTGGTATGATGTGTTTAAATTTTGGTGGTTCATTTTGTTTTGAATTTTCTTCCAGAAATTTTGCTTTTATAACTGTCTTTTTAAGTTATTGTATATCACAAGAAGAGGATTGTGATCTTTGACTTTAATGGGGTTCTTGTTGCCTTTATGAAGTTTTCAGGTAGAGTTGAATTGAAAGCAAAAGCAAGTTCTAGACTCCCTGGTAATCTGATTTATTTAGATTTTATTGGGGTTTATAAAATGTGCAATTTTGTACATTATAATTAAATAAGGTATGTCACCTTCTTTCTAGGGATTTCAAGTGATTTTTCTTTTTTACCAATTTTTTTTTTTTTTTTTCCTATTCTGTTCTTATTCATCATTTACAAGTTTCTCTGTTTTGTTTTTGTTGTTAGTTTTTGCTTGCTTCATCGAAATTTAGGTTCCATAGTTAGAAATGGTACTAAATTTTGCATCAAAGAGTGTACAGCTTATATTACCTTATGCACTCTCTTCTTCTTCTTCTTCTTCTTCTTTTTCTTCTCCAAAACCAGTCTCTTTTATTTCTTCTTCTTTGTTGACAACTCGTACTAGAAGAAACTCGTCTCCGTTATTCCGAAATAGAGTGAAGAATTGGAGTTTTGGGGTGTGTAATTCTAGAGGTAATAGTCTGAAGCGATCTTGCAGTTTTGAGTTTGATGAATTTCCCGAAGAGGAGTTATTTAAAATGATTGAAGGTTTGGCAGAAAAGTTTGATGTTACTGATGATGAAGAAGAAGAAGAAGAAAATGATAAGGACCCAGGCTATGGTAGAACAGAAGTTTCTTGCAACGCAAGTCAAAAACAACCTGAAAATGGTCAAAAAGTGAAGATTTCAACACAATTTATGCCTTCACAGTTTGAATTTCTTGAGCATAATTTGCTCGGCATCCATCCAGAGCCGGAGCACTGGCCGGAGAGAGATGAGATTAATAGAGTGAACATTGAACAGAAAGCGAACTGCGTTGGCATCCCTTTGTCACTGAAGATGATAAAAAGAAAACAGAAACGGCAACAGGGTTTTGGGGATGCTGGGGATTTTGCATATTGTTCTGTGAAGAAGGCATTTTCTTCATTAGTATTCATTATTAGAGAGCTTCAGAACTATGCCTTAAATATAAGGGCGAGCCTTTATTCTGAAGACTTAAAGGAGATTATGAGTAAAGTCCAAAGAGAAATGAATATATCGTTTGTTTGGCTCTTCCAACAAGTTTTTTCGCGAACGCCCACTTTGATGGTCTATGTAATGATTCTTTTGGCTAATTTTACTGTCCATTCAATGAGCAATCACACTGTTATTGCCACTACTTCACCCTCAAGCTCGTCTTGCGAGACCATCTCAGAATCCGAGATTTATAAGCTATTGGAAGACTCAAATTCTGATGTGGGCAACAATGGTGGTGGCATAAAAGTGAGGCCGACTGTCGCTGGAACAGAAGGTGGAAATGTCCATATGCGCAGATCCTCACTTTTTGTTGAACAGCCTAGAGTTCTTACTGATGAAAATTATGAGGCAAATCATGATATGACTGAAGAGGAGGTAGAATTGTGGAACTCTATGGTGGAAGAAGCCTCAAGAATGCAAGAGGAATCAAGTCTTGAGGTTCTTGATACCGGGACCAAGAAGCTTTTTGTAACCCCAATAACAGTGAAGCTCGAACCAGAAGATTATGTGGATTATTTTAGAACAGATCTCCTCTACCAGATGGGCATAGCTGAGGAGCCAAATAATTCACTTCTGCTCACAAATTATGCTCAGTTGCTTCATCTTGTCGCTCAAGACTACAATAGGTAAGTCCCAGCTATGCTACTTTCCCAATTGTGGATTTCCATTTCCAGTTCTGCTAAACATAAGTTTTACATTGGTAATTATGTTTTGGTTTTGCAAATTTTGGGGTTGAACAGGGCAGCAGAGTGCTACAAGCGAGCAGTCCAAATAGAACCGCTGGATGCCGAGGCATTGAGTAAATTTGCCGACTTCCTGTGGAAAACAAGGAATGACCTTTGGGGTGCTGAAGAGAGATACTTACAAGCAATGGCAGCTGATCCAAGCAACGCTTATCATGCTTCAAAATACGCCACTTTTCTGTGGAGCACCGGCGGTGAAGATACATGTTTTCCTCTCCCCAATTGACACTACAGAATTTTTGTGATGCCATAAGGATGATGCATCCTAAAAGAAAATTATTACCATGTCAGTATCCTAATCACTAGGGTAAAAAAAAAAATTTCCTGGTTTTTTGTTTTATTGATTTGTAAAAACAATTCATGAGTTATACACAAATAAAAATCACTGATATCCCTTTTGAAGGTAGTACTCTTAAAAGAAATAAAACTCTAGTATTTACATAATTCTTATATTTCAATTTGTTTTTCATGCTAAAGTACAAGTTCACAAGAGCAGTAAAATACAAGGGTACTAATTGCCTCTTTGTTACATGGTAATAATAATACAAAAATTGTCCCATGTGATTGAACCCAGTTAACACCACAACTCTTAACTAAAAACAATGAATTGAAATAACTCTTAACTGATAAGTGGAATTTTAGCATTTTAAATGAAGTGGAAACTACAGCATCACCAAAACCAGAGATTGCGACTGTCAACAGCCTTCACAGAAGTAGATACCAGTGGCATTCGGCCAAACTCGGCGGCAAATCTATTAACACATTGGGTTCTTTTCTCAGTATGACCTCCCATGCTACTAATGCCAGTTGAACCAATCTCGTATATTTTGCCTACAGTGGCAACACCAATACTTGAATAAGATATCATTTAGAAGAATAACAAGGAGAGGATACACATAAATGAGAGTGAATGGCAAAAGCATTTTTGTCATGTAGATAATTGGAACTTGGAAATACAAAGAACAAAGCAAAACAAAATGCCATTCTGAGAATAAGATGATCAAATTTTCAGATATTATTTGGTTTGATTCTTTGGATGCAATGATATCTCTCAAACTGTTACGAATACACATGATTTATCATTTACCTTTAACCCATATAGGGGGAGAACCAGTCACATTTGCTACAAGAAAGGACATTGCAATATCTTCACAGTTCCTGGTAAACCAATCCAACAATTAGAGAGCACTTAAACTTGTAAACAACAGAGATCAAAAGATAACTAAAAAAATAAAAGCAACAGATTAAGAAGTGGAAGAAGAACCTGTTCTTGGTTACATATTCTCTAATTGATGCTGGCATCTCCTTTGTGTATACCCGCAAATATTTTTTGTGGAAAAAGGCAGCCTTTGAGAGTACCATACTATACGTACCTGTCCACCAAACAGACCACCACCCACCATATATGTAATTACCCGTATCGTCTTTCTGTATAAACATTAACAAATTAAAAAGCAACAGATTCAGATTGTATTTCATGATTTGAACTTGAACTAACAGATATAAATGACTGGAGACATAATAAAAAACTATATCCAGATTGAATTCACAAACTGACACTTCAAGTAAAAAATTTCATTGATAGAGTCAATAAATCGCTCAAACCAAATCAACATTTTGCATTTCTGCTAATTTTGTCATATCTTTCTTCTCTAGTGTATACATCATTGAACATGATATAGCATCTGCGATACTAACATGAAACATAAACATGTTCAGTTCTGTTTGGTATTTGGTAAAACTGACTTGAAAAAATGAATAATCAGGCAAGTGTTCCCAATATTATACAAGTACAAATACAAAATGGCTTTCCACCAACTAGGACTCACAAGAAAATTCGGCAACATACAATTCTTTTCTTCATTCTTCAGTTAATAAATAATATGTGAACTTATTTTAACTTCATGTTTAAATTGCAGCAAAGAAGGAAATTCAATAGGCAAAGACATACCCAATGATTACGAGGTACAAATCCAACCATCGTATCCGGTGCACTTTGCCAAACGTCGAAAGCGAACTTCACCGAAGAGCAAGGAAATATAACATCATCATCAATCGAAAATACAGCATCAGCCTCCAAATCCTTAATCTCTTTAAATCTGTTGTTCAAACTATCCTCCTCATTAATATCAAATCTCAGTTCAACCCGTCGCCCCTGTCTCGAATTCTTCTCCACAACATTGTATAAATTTTTTTTAAGTGATTTCGAAGGAGGATCAGGCTCACTCCACACTATGTGTATCGAATCAAGTCCTGGACATGAAGCATAGTGAGAAATCGATTCCTTCAGCAGATCGTATCTCTTCCATGTGTTCATTAAAATAGCATATCCTTTCCTGTGCACAAAATACAGAATCCATCATCAAAACATAACCCTAACCTTAATTAGAGGTTAATTAATGGTGATTATCTTAAGAGATACTAATTATTAAGCATTTAAACGAACTTCCACTGCAACAGATATTCATAATACCAACTAGTTAAAAAATCTAGATTATATATATATATCACTATGTGATTAAAACTTTCCTAATTTGTTAACTAAATCTGAATTATATGAAAAAAGTTACTGATTATTTAGCTTTTAAATGAAATTCATTATTCTGCTCAAATAAAATTCAACTATAAATTATGAACTACCTTAAAGTCTAAATGAATACTAACCGTGGCAGAGCGAACCGATCCACCAGCTCGGTGCTGCTATCTGTCCATTCAACGAAAGAAGAACCGCGGCAAAGTAGTAGAATCACCGACAAAGCGATGCAGCAGCAGAGTATAAGCTTTATCTTCGGCTGCATCGCAAATTGTCTGAATCGCTGGACCGTTCGACGGTTGCCATTAAACAACAAGCTCCCTCTCATCATCATCAAGTTTTTGTATTAGTCGGGGAGGGAGAGGGAGATGGTACAGTGTAGTGAAGGTGTAGCGAGTGGAGAAACAGAAGAGCGGGTACGCCCATAAGATGTGAGTGCTAGACACGTGTCGCGTAGGCGATTGGTGATAACAGCCTCTCGAAGTTTCTTAAGAGGCTGTGTCGTTCTGTACACTGTCTCAGATCAGATCTTCCATGGATTGTGAAAGCAATGATTAGTCAAGCGTCTAAAACAGATAGAGGACGAAAGCGGCGCCCATTCCAAACCGTCGGATCGACGTCCGGATAGAATCAACGGTTTTGCCAAATGCGAATTTAAAATAGCGGTTCCCATTGGGACCCAACTGTCAAATATTTTCCGTTTTTTACACTGTTATTTGTCTAAATTCGCAAATAAGTCCTGAGATAGTTAACTACTAGTCAAGGTATTAAAACCGGACCCACGGGGATCATGCTGATGTCATGCTGATGTCATAATATATAAAAAATAATAAAATAATAAAAAAGCGGTTCGCCTGACATTGGACTGACAGCTCGTAATAAAAAATTCGATCAAACTGGATCATTTAATATTTTTTATTTTTTAATCGAATCGACCTGACTCGATCATCTGTTCCCGATTCAACTTGTTGAACCAGTCGGGTTTTAAAATTATGCTACTAAGTACTTAATTGTTGATATATAAATGGAAAGTTAGTTGAAAATTGAGAGGTACATGTAAATTTTTGATATATAAATGGAAAGTTAATTGAAAATTGAGAGATACATGTAAATTTTGTAATTTCATTAGAGATTTAAACTCAATCAATAGAAATAACATTTAGACCGAATGGGAGGATTACGCTTTTTTATAAACTAGGCCAGACCCATATGTCATGGGTGTGAGACTCCAATACTCTTCCTCACGGTCAAACCCATATATTGGGTCATATCTGTTGCTCTGATATCATGATAGAATTTAAGATGGATCTCTTTACCCAAGACTTTGTTAAATAAGAGGATTACCCAATCTTATAAATTAATAGGCTTAAACATGCTTAATCGTGTGAGAATCCAACACAAACATCATAAGTTCTAACCTATCTTGAAGATCTCAAGACTTTGTTATCCCTTTTTCTTTCATCAATTCACCAAATGACAACATACCGAATCGATTCATAATCTAATTATACAATTTGCAAGAATCATTTACCTTCTTGAGTTAGATTCATTTCCTAGATAGGTAAAGGCAAGAATTGCTTCAATTCAACCTGTTAAAGGCAAAATGAATCTAACCTATCTAGGGAATTCTTTCAGATACCATAAGAAATCGATTCCAATAAGATCTACCAAAAATTTAAATTTAAAATAGTTACCGAAAATGATAGACCAGCCTGATTACTGAAATTTGAAAGCAGCCCACCAAATAACTGGACTGGACTGGACTGCCAGTAGTGAGCCTGGCCCCTAAAGTCGACGAAATTCAAAGCTTAGAGAAATTCACTTCGTTTTCAATGTGCAATCAAAAAGTTTCAATCATGCAGATCATGAGAAGGAATTTAACAAATGGACGGTGAGAGCAATTCGTTTTCAACTCCACCTCTACCAGCTTTGACACTGAGGCATCCAAATTAGCTAGGACGGCGGGCGGCTATAAAATTGGTCAATTTTTAATTCTTTGTCGAGTCTTACCTTTACTACTAAAATGAATTAATTTTGTAATAATATAAATGACCTCATAATTAGTTAATTAAATCCTCTTCAAGGGATGATATTGGGAAATGTTTATTGAAAAAGGACGACGAGTCACATAAAACTAGGGGTGTTCAAAAAAATCGATTAGAACCAGAACCAATTGGTACCCTGGGTTTGGTTCCAGTTCCTTCCCAGAATCAATCGTCAATGGGTAGGTTCCGGTTCCAAATTTTTGGAACCGTTACTGTGCGGTTCCAGTTCCTATAGTTAGGAATCGGAACCAGAAATCGAGACTAATATAAAATAAAATTAAATATTAGGGGGGTTAATAAAAACTTTTGTAGAAAAAGGAATGTGAATAGATTCATATTTATAGTTCATAACATTTAAAGTAAGTTGGTTTGACTTTTGAAAATCTAACTTTACAAAATAATGGAGTTTTAATTTTGAATTTATAATTTGTAATTTTATTTTTGTTAACAAGTGCCAGGTGGGGGAGGGGGGGTATTTGTAAGTTTTTAAGGGTTTTTTTGTAATTTTAAAACTTTTGGGGAGTCATATAATTTTACAGGGTACCCAGAACCGGAGCCGTTGTTACAGGTTCTGGTTCTGGGTACCTAGGAACCGGAACTGTCGGTTCCGGTTCTGGTTCCAAATTTTAAGGAACCGTCGATTCTGGTTCCGATTTCTTCAAAAAGTGTAGGGTACCCGGAATCGAATACCCCTAAATAAAACCATTGAATATACTGATTCAATCCGAGATCTTAGAAATTGAATAAATTCAACAATAAATCACAAAATCTTGATAATTTTCTTTATCTGATGAACGAGGAGTTACATGAAATCGTTATCGAGTATGCACTTTATCAAGAATTACATACGAGTAGATTAATACAATATAAGCATCTGATAAAATGCTCACCCGCAACTCAACCAATAAAGTACATTATGTAATCCGTTTTCGAGATTAATGACTTACTCATATAGAGACTTTGGCAATGGGCATTTCCAGAATTGGTGTAATTTTAATTAAGAAAATAAGTTGTGTTTAATTTTAGTGATGTAATTTGCATTTGAGTTTCATATTTTAGAGGTAAATAAAAATTTGGGCTGGGAACATTTTGAAGATGGGGTCAATAATGTTAAGTAATAGTTGCTTTCAATATGATGAAATGGGAAAATAAGGTATTGCTTTTTTATAATATTGTCCGCCACTAGGGACTTATTAATTATGTGCATCCTTTTACTTCAAATCTAAGACTTGAAATATACAATTTCTCTGTCAATACATATCTCTACATTTATTTAATTAAAATTGCTTAAAACATCACTACCATGGAAAGTTTGTAACCATCAAACACTAGCCAAAATTAATTAAAAAATGTGAAGACAAAGTAATCACATCACAAGTGATAAAATCCTGATTTATTTATTATTATTATTTTTGTAAACGGGGTGTCAGGACTAGTTTATGTGTACCGCAACTAATTTTTTAGGACCCTGAAATAATATCCTAAGAAAGGCAAAGAACATATAAATGTGGAGTGGTGAGGAAAAATGAGTGAAAATGTTGGAAAATAAGAGTGGATTAAGAAGAAGGTAATGCAAAATTAGCTCAAAAAGCAGATTGTTAATGAGGACAAGGAGGGCTGGCAGAGCCGCGAAAAGCAGTGGCCTCAAATCGAGGGGCGGTTGAATAACCACAATCATTCCTAATATTTTAAAACTCTGCTTCCATCATTCATCGCTCCAAGCCTGTGAAACATATAATATTTGCGTTTTAGGTAGGAATGGTTGTCGTTTGGACAGATGTTGTACACATAAAATATTCAAATAAACAAATGATAATACTCAACCTAAAGGAGACATAATTTAACCCAAAGTTTAAGGTAAGTTTTTAATTAATCGCATTCTTATCCATGCCATGTCACTTTCAATTTTCAAATTTACAGTTTATTACATTTTTAAAATATTGAATTTAAATTTTATAACATAAAGTAGTTTTTTTGCAGAGGAAGAAGATGAAGCTAAAGCACAAAAATAATATTCCAAGTATAGGCTGCAGACATCATTGGATATTATTAAATATTATCCATGTCAAGTCACTACAACTAGATTAATACGCGAAACATGTTAGTTGACATGATTAGTATATAATCAAATTCCACGAATACCCCATTATTTATCATCTTATCAAATAATTAAATAATTAATTAATCTCGCCAGCATGAAATTTCTGTAATATTTTTCTTCTTTTAAGAGATAATCAATTTCTTAATCTAATGAATATAATGTTCATATATAATGCATGTATATATATATTTTTTAATGATCAGGGTGTCCTAAGTCCTAATCAGCTTACACTTTGTTTATATATAATGTATCGGATCAGTTTGTGCATATCTTAACTATTTTTTTAAGATCCTAAAATTATCAGTCGGGTAAAAATTTTAATAATCACCCCTATTAATAGAAGAGATGAATCGAATATAAGATCTTTTGAGTAATATCTCATATATTTTTCATGAACAAAATCTTGAATTTATTTATTTTAATTGAGTTGAAATTTGAGGAGCGAAATCAAGACAATAATAAAAAGACGAAAATAACCAATTGTTTTTAGTTTCCAAAAGTTGTCCCTACACAAGTTCTAAAATTGTTATACAAAATCATCAACCTATAGTGACTGTGGTCAGCTTGACTGTTGATGGACGGTGGCCAGAACATCACCTATATGGATGAGCTTGAGCCACCTAGGATTTGAATAACACCATGTGTACTAATCAATGAGTATTAATCTAAGTACTAATGTTAAAAATTTAAAATTCTCTCCAAAAAATTTTTTTAAAATTTTAATGTTAGTATTTAAATTAGTACACATTGATTAGTGGATATAGAATTACTCTTAGGATTTTAACCCAATTATTGTCGTTTTTATTCATATGGGTAGTTACGTAATTTTATAAAATCTCCGAAAATGATTGGTCGGTCACAAGATAAACAAAATAAATTCAATTATATACACTCAATAGGACCCACCACCAGCTCTCATCACTCCCTCTTCGTCGTTATATAAACTACAGCGCATCAACCACCATTCCTCACCTCATCATCACAACTCACAAGATCAAACGGGCAAAAACAAGTAGAAGAATTCTTACGTCTCTGTGTGTTTTTTGAGCGGAAATGGAGGGCAAGGAAGAGGATGTTAGATTGGGAGCCAACAAGTTCACCGAGAGGCAGCCACTTGGAACGGCTGCTCAGGTACCGGATAGCAAGGACTACACCGAGCCACCACCGGCTCCACTGTTCGAGCCCGGCGAGCTCACTTCTTGGTCCTTTTACAGAGCTGGGATTGCTGAGTTTGTTGCCACTTTTCTCTTCTTATACATCACTGTTTTGACTGTCATGGGCGTGGTCCAGCCCGAAACTAAGTGTAAAACAGTCGGTATTCAAGGGATCGCTTGGGCCTTTGGTGGCATGATCTTCGCTCTCGTCTACTGCACAGCTGGAATATCAGGTTAGTAGAGATGTCAAATGAGCCGTTTGCATAAGAATAACTCATTTTGTTTGGGATGTTGAATTAGTTTTAATGGTGCTGCAGGGGGACACATCAACCCGGCGGTGACATTCGGGCTATTTTTGGCGAGGAAGCTGTCTTTAACTAGGGCAGTTTTCTACATGGTGATGCAGTGCCTTGGTGCCATCTGCGGTGCTGGTGTGGTGAAGGGTTTTGAAGGAGCAACCAGATACCAGTTGTTGGGTGGTGGAGCTAACTCTGTGGCCGGTGGATACACCAAAGGTGATGGTCTTGGTGCTGAGATTATTGGCACTTTTGTTCTTGTTTACACTGTTTTCTCTGCCACTGATGCTAAACGTAGCGCCAGAGACTCCCATGTTCCTGTAAGTTTCTAAATTAATCTCTCTGCTTCGTTGTTGAGTTCAAAGTATTAATTAAAGGTTAAGTTTTGAGATTATATATGGATTTAAATGGTTAGATTTTGGCACCTTTGCCCATTGGTTTTGCTGTCTTCTTGGTTCACTTGGCTACCATTCCAATCACTGGAACTGGTATCAACCCTGCTAGGAGTCTTGGTGCCGCCATCATCTTCAACAGAGAACACGCCTGGGATGACCACGTAAGCCCACTCAACCACTACTGATTTACTAATGGTAATTAATTATTAATTAATTAACCTTCTTTTTCTATGGTGCGTGCAGTGGATTTTCTGGGTTGGACCATTCATTGGAGCAGCTCTTGCAGCTTTATACCACGTGGTGGTGATCAGAGCCATTCCTTTCAAATCAAAGTGATCAAATATTAATAAATGGTGGTGATCGCTTGTGGCTGTTGGTACTTTGCCAAATTTCTGTTTGTTTGATTATGTGTATTTTATTTTCTAAGTTAAGAATTGTAATAGTACCGAAGTTTCTTCAAGGGTTGAAAACCTTCTTTCCTTTTGTTAATTTTATGGGTTCAAAGGGAGGAGGTTGCTGATGATCGATGCCCGTCTCTTTGTAAATTAAAATGTAAAGGCTGTGAACGCGAAATGTCATTTTCGGAATAACGCCGACCAAACCCAAGTTCCATAGCCCCCATATCTTCTGTTCTAAACTAAAATCCAAGACTTTGTTATCAAGTCGCCATTAATGAATCACCATCGCATCTTGTTGCTTGCATCAAACGTATCCTTTTTTTAGCGTGCATTTGTTAGGTGCCCACCACACCAAGTGGGCAAGCTTGTTTTTCCTTTTAAATTCTCTATAATTATAGTGCATGGATCAGTTTACAGATACGACAAGATGATATAGCATTCTCTTGATTCTAAAACAACTTGGGCAAAGCTTGTTGACTTGAAGGGCACCTGTCTATCTCCTGGGTTAGAAATAAATGATAGAGTTAGGTTTTGTACAACGTAATCACAACTCATTCATAGACCTAACCACATGTTTTTATATACTTCTGTCTTGATCGTAAAAGGACAATCATCAAAAGCGACAAGAATATTCTTAAAATATACATGAAGAGACAATTTCATCTCTTACCCTCGCGATTTAAGTTATTTTATTACGGATGGATGATGATAAAAGTTTAGGTTTACATTCGCCTCAACACAACAACAAAGTTTGTGACCTTGTCTGGTTCTATACGTGTAGCTACAGTTGAGATGAAAAGAGATGGATTAAGACCTATCTCTAACTCAATTACTTGTTAAATCCTAAAACCGACACGTTACACCGAGGGATTGGCCCATGAGGTCAAATTTGAGTCAAAGAAGGAAACATGAAGCCAAGTCACACATTATTTTATTTTTTTGGTGTTCTAAGTTTTTGGATTCAATAATCTTATTATAAAATTAGGGTAAGCATCCACGTATTTTTTGGGGACACGTGTGGGAACCCTAAAAGAAATTTTAGTTGTATACTCAGTGTGATTTTTCAATGAAAAAATAAATGTGAAAGTTTAAATAATTAATTAATAAACTTTTAATTAGTTTACAAGTTGAATATGCTTTCTCTTATTAATTAATCAAATTCCCACTTAATTAAGGCATGTTTATGATGCTATTAGAAGTGATTTTAAATTATCAAAAACGTTTGCATGATTATTCTATAATATTTAAATAATATAGATAAAAAATATCTTCTAGAAATATGTTAAATATTTCTTTTAGAAAAAGAAAATCAGATCTCAATAAAAAAAAAAGTTAATTATGTTTATAAAAACTATTTTTACTAAAAATAGTTTTTGATAAACAAGCACCATAACATAACAAGGAAACAACTTCAAACACTCTTTTTCACGCTCAACGTGCATGGTTCGACCAGGGTCCAAACCTATCATCAACCTCAACCCAGCTTACACGTCTATGGTCCAAATCCATCAAACGTGGCTCTGATACATGATAAACGAATTTAGGTAAAAGTCACATCTAAAAACTAGTCCAAAGGGAGGAAGAAGCCAACCACATGTATACATCATAACAATCGACCAAATTGACAATTCAGAACAAATACAACTTCTAATATTTCTATGTTACCTGAGAAACCAAATCAGCTATGGCCTCAGCTAAAGGTTCCCAAGCCATACAAGTCTCTTTAGTTTTGTGTTCTGCAGATACCCTTCTATGGAATATCAAGAAAACGCGACCATTTTGTATAATTTCTTGAGAGCGTGACTTGAGAAACAAGCCGAAGTCTTCTTGAAATTGAACTAAATATGCTTCTTTTACAGCGGGAGGGCTTGTATCAGATATGTAAATCTTTCCCTTATTTAATGGCAACCCATCTTTATCTGTAAGTCCTGGTGCCTTCGCATTCAATAAAGCAGAGAGCATGAGAAGTGACAGATAAAAACTCACAACAATAGACATTTATGCTCTCTAATTTATACTCACCTTAGAGAGCCAATGCACGGCGTAGGAGGAATAAATGAGGTGCATGGTGTTTGTGGGGAAAAGCCGGCCATGGAAAGAGCCTGGACAGCCCATCACAAAACACGATTGGTCCTTATATTTTTCAATGAATTTAGACAAGCTCTTGAAGAGTGTATTAAAGTCATTGCCCATTAGATCATTCAAGTAATACTGAAACTCTAGCATCTGACGATTCAATTCATTGATTTGATTTTCACGCTCTCTATCACAGTTTCCATCACAGAAAATGTTGTTGGTGTAGAAGAACAATCCAAATCCGCTACGTTCAGAACTTGGTCTGGGGGGAAATCTTCCGAAAATAGAGAATGAACTGCGTTCTCTAGCGCAGGCTTGGTCACATCGGCAACTTTTTGCTATATATTGAAAATTAGTCATTCTAAGTCATGACACAAAGAAACAATTGAAAAAAAAAAATAGAAGAGCAAGCTTGAAAGCAGAGTACCGTAAATGAAGAGTTCTGTCAGAGTTTGAGATTGAAGGTGGCAAAGAGACAAGAAGACTGCCGAAGAATGCCTACAAGAACACTGATAAAAGGGCAGAAATGTAGACCAAAGAATATCAAGCAAAGAGAGAGATTTGTAATTGTATTATATGTTTTGTAATATGTACATCAGCCAATTTATACAGTGGCTTTGAATACAATAAAGGTAAGGAAATAATACTGTAAAGAAAAAACAATAAACTCTTAATTACAAAATATTACAATCAATCAAATGATTAGAAAATCAATGACCGCTTGATTCCAGCATACATATCCTCAGTATTCCATATTTCATCACTCCCCCTCAAGTTGGTGGTCTGTAGATGTCGAAAACCCCAAGCTTGTGTAATAAATGAGAATGCTGACGACCACATAAAGGCTTCGTGAATATGTCCGCTGGTTGTTCCGATGTTCGTATGTGCTAGTCCTGATAATCCCTTCCTGAATTTTCTCTCTGACGAAATGATAGTCAATTTCTATACGTTTGGTTCTTTCTTGGAAAACTGGATTTGCCACGATATCATTAGCAACTTTGTTATCGCAGTATAGAGTGACTGGTTTCTCTGTTTTTACTCCCAAGTCTTTGACTAATCCAAGAATCCAGACAATCTCACAAGTTGTTTTCGCCATTACTCTATATTCTGCTTCAGCTAAAGAAAGTGAGATTGTTGGTTGTCTTTTTGTTTTCCATGATATAAGAGATCCTCCAATTTTAATGCAAAATCCTGTAAGAGACTTTCTAGTCATAGGACAAGTACCCCAATCTGAATCGCAGTATGCTGTGATGTCGAAATTCCCATCTCAAGGTAAGAGAAGTCCTAATCCAGGACATCCTTTTAAATATTTAAGCACCTTGATTGCTGCGGCCATATGAGATTGTTTGGGTTGATGCATGAACTGACTTATTATATGGACTGCATAACTCTTATGTCAGGTCTTGTCATGGTAAGATAGATAAGTCTTCCTACGAGTCTCTGGTAAAGAGATGGGTCTTGTAATAGAAGATCATTTTCTGAAGAGGTTGTCTCATGGTCATATTGCTGTGATGTGAGTTTGATGTTTTGTTCCATAGGAATGATGCTGGGTTTGCATGCTGATAAACCAGAGTCGGATACAAGTTCTAAAACATATTTCCGTTGACTTAGAGAAATACTTGCCGGGGATCGTGCAATCTCAATGCCCAAGAAATATTTTGGTTCCCCCAGATCTTTTATATGGAAATGTTTGTTGAGATGCTCTTTTAGGGTGCGAATGCCACTCTCATCGTTCCCAGTGATTAAAATATCATCAACATAAATAATAAGAGCAATAACAGTGGTACCTTTGTGCCATGTGAAGAGAGAGTAGTCATGCTTGGATTGAGTGAATCCCATGTTAGTCAGAGCCTCTGTAAATTTTGCGTTCCATTGGCATGATGCTTGCTTCAAACCATATAAGGACTTGCGTAGACGACATACCATATTCTCCCCCTGTCTACGAAGTCCGGGAGGAAGGTCCATATAAATTTCTTCATGAAGATCTCCGTGGAGAAAGGCATTATGGACATCCATTTGATGAAGGCACCAATTATGGATGGCAGCAATGGACAAGAAGGTTCGAACAGTGACATGTTTGGCGACTGGAGAAAAGGTGTCGTGGTAATCAAAACCTTCTCTCTGGGTGAAACCTTTGGCAACGAGACGAGCCTTGTAATGCTCAATGGATCCATCAACACGGTGCTTGATCTTATAAACCCATTTGCAACCAATAGGTTTCCTATGAGAAGGACAAGGAACAAGATCCCAGGTATGATTCTGAGAGAGGGCACTGAGTTCATCGGCCATGGCCTGACGCCAATGTGAATGGGAAATAGCTTTAGAGTAACATGAAGGTTCCTGGTGTGCAGAAATCTGACTAATGCAAATCCTGTGGGCAGGGGACAAACGATCATAAGTAACATAGTTGGAAGTAGGGTAAGTAGTACCTATGGTAGTCTGGATGGTAGGACAGACATAATCTTCTGTCCAAACAGGGGGATGAGTGACCCTTGTGGAATGTCTTTGAGGAGGAGCAGGAACAATGGGAGTATTTTCCAGTGGAGGTGGAGTAGGAAGCTGGTTCTCTGGAGATGAAATAGGAGAAGGACCAGGAAGCTGTGTCTCTGTAGAAACTGGTTCAGAGGTTGACTGGGAGGGTCCATTGTCTTGAATTGGAGGCATGGTATAATAGGGGCTGGAGAAGTCCGCTGCGGAACGGTCTTCTAAAAAGGTGGGAGTCTGCAGGGAGTCATCAGAGGGGGACCTGTCTAAAAAAGGAAAAGAATCTTCATGAAAAACCACATCCCTAGAAACCAGAAATTTCTCTGCGGTGATGTCATAGAGGCGATAACCTTTCTGATGCATTGGGTAACCCATAAAAACACATGGAATAGCCCGAGGAGAAAATTTATCATGCCCTCTTAAATTTGTAGAGTAGCATAAACACCCAAATACTCTGAGATGATCAATTGTAGGTGGTTTACCAAAAAAAACTTCATAAGGTGTCTTGCCATCTAAAGTCCGACTCGACATCCTATTGATCAAGTAGGTGGCCGTGACCACACATTCGCCCCAAAGGGTAGTAGGGATGTTAGCTTGGTGTTTAAGGGCACGGGCGACCTGTAAAAAATGTCGATGTTTCCGTTCAACTATGCCATTCTGTTGAGGGGTATAGACACAAGAGCTTTCATGGATAATACCAAGAGAGAAAAAAAGTTTCGAACATTCGGTGTTGAAAAAATCCCTAACATTATCTGTCCGGACTCGTTGAACCGAAACATCAAATTGGGTTTTGACCATGGACAAAAAATGTCAGATATGAGTGAGTGTCTGGTTTTTAGAGTGCATGAGGTAGACCCAGGTTCCCTGAGAGTAATCATCTACGATGGTAAGAAAATATCTAGAGCCATCGTGATTGGCTGTGTGATATGGACCCTATATGTCCATATGAACTAAGGAAAAGGTACGGTTTGTGGAAGTCATGTGTTTGGGAAATTTTGTGCGGGACTGTTTTACAAGAGGACAAATAGGATAATTGGGTTGTGGAATAGATGCACTATGACCCAGACTTTGATGCAAAAGAAAAGAAGTTTTATTAATGTTAAAGAAACTGTTACAAGACATTGAATTTTTAGCATCAGAAGCACCTATCCAATAATAAAGGCCTTGGTAAACGTTACCCAAGCCCGTCAGTTTCCCAGTCAAACGGTCCTGAAATTCACATTTGTTAGGAAAAAAATTTAAGAGACAAACATTATCTTGACAAAGTTTCGAAACAGAGATGAGATTGAAAAGGGAAGCAGGAACAAACAAGACATTATGAAGAATTAAATGTTTATTTAGATGAACAGTTCCTAATTGGGTGGCTGGTGCATGCGTCCCATTTGGCATGCGGACGGATGTGTAGGGTATGGGAAATGTTTTGGAAAAATGTTTGGGATCGCAAACAATGTGGTCATTGGCCCCTGAATCAATTATCCAAAAATTTTCTTTTGTAATATTGGAACAAAAGGATGTACCTACATAGGATGTGGTATTGGGCTGCAGACTTTGATTTAGCAGTTGCAGGATCTGACGATATTGTTCTTGGCTAAACATAGGGACCATAGCATTACTCTCAGAAGTGACAGGGTGACTTACTTGATTGGTAGTGGCAGATCTAGACCTTTGATTTTGGTTGCGGCCATGTAGTTTCCAACAAGTGTCTCGGGTGTGGTTCCTCCTTTTGCAAAAATCGCAATACGATTTTTGTTGGACCTGAATGACCCTTGGGAGGAATTAAAATTTGTGAATTGGGCCGGGTTACTGCCTGAGTTTGGGCCAGCTGCAAAAATTTGGCTATTTCTAGAATTTGGGCTTATAACCAAATTTGGTCCCAAACGGTTATTAAGCCCAATTGGGTGTGAGCCGTTGGATGAGGAGATCAAATCTGGGCCGTGAACTCCCCTATATAAATTATTGTGTTCACCATCAGTTTGCCCTAGCCTCCCCTTGTCGTTTCTAGTTTTCATTTCAGATTGTGCACTCTGGCACCGATGAGAAGGAACAGCGAAGGCAGCTGCTTCAGTCCTGGATTGGGCTTCAGACGAAGCCAATCTCTGGCTTTCGTCTTGTACGGCCAGTTGGTAGGTGCGCCGGAGAGATGGCGCAGGGGTTTGGCCAACATCTATGTTCGAAAAGCCAAAAAACTGTCATTTAAACCAAATAAAAATTGTATTAACCTGTTTTGATCTTTCAGGTGTTTGATCTGGTGAAGAATTGCGGATGGCCCTTCAATTGGTTCTTCAACAGCATCGAGCTCGTTCCAAATCGCCGAAAGGCGATTGAAATAAACCGTGACTGGTAGATTGTGTTGTTTGATTTCAAGGAGGTTTTTACGTAAAGTAAAAATCTTTGCGAGATCGAGTTGGCCGTACATATCTCGGATGTTCGTCCACATCTCATGAGCGTTTTCTGTTTGGGGCAAGCCGGCAGCAATCTCCTGGGTCAGGGAGTTGCTGATCCAGGCATGAACGAGGGTGTTGCATCAAATCCAGTGCTGGATCAGATGCGGTTTAATGGGTTGGGGAAGGGTTCCATCGATGAACCCTTCTTTGTTTTTGGTTACCAGAGCGCGCCGGAAATCTCTGGCCCAAGTGGCGTAATTTTGAGATCCGGCCAACGACTGTTTGACGAGTACGATTTTAGATCCATCGAAAATCGACGAGAAAAGGGCATCCCCCGGTTCCGATCGACCGGTGGTGGCTGGAAGAATTTGAAAAACCGGGTAGGGATTTTGACCCATCGGGGTAGGATTGTGACCCATAAACCCGAATGGGAATGGTCCGGGTTGAAAGTTGGATCCGGGTTGTTGGTTGGGCTCTGGTGGAGGATTTGGACCAGTGTAGGTGTTACGGCCTGGTGGAGTTTGGTTGTGTGGGCCTTCATTTGTGGCTGTGGATGCTGAGTCTGGTTCAATTGGTATTTTGGTTGGGTCCATTTGTGATGTCTGAAAAAAAAAAAAAAAAAAAAAAAACTAATTCGGTTGCCTTGTTTTGCAGGTTTAGAGAAACAATGGCTTGGAGAGGATTGTAGCAGAAGCAAAGGTTCGCTCTGATACCATGTCAGATTTTGAGATTGAAGGTGGCAAAAGAGACAGAAGACTGCCGAAGAATGCCTACAAGAACACTTGATAAAAGGGCAGAAATGTAGACCAAAGAATATCAAGCAAAGAGAGAGATTTGTAATTGTATTATATGTTTTGTAATATGTACATCAGTCAATTTATACAGTGGCTTTGAATACAATAAAGGTAAGGAAATAATACTGTAAAGGAAAAACAATAAACTCTTAATTACAAAATATTACAATCAATCAAATGATTAGAAAATCAATGGCTGCTTGATTCCAGCATAGATATCCTCAGCATTCCATATTTCATCAAGTTCTGATGGTAGCTGTTTTCGCCATCTCCTTTGTTCATGTAAAGCAAGTCCTTCATTTCCATGCAAGTATTCTCCTTCTTCTCAAGCAGTAATTTACTTTTTTTTGTTGATGGCGGTGGCTATGGATTAGTTTCCTAAAGATTTAAAGAGTTCATTAGATTAAAAAATGAAGAGAATATGTATATATGCAGTTTTACTTTTTTTATACAAATCAGAATAAGTTTAGCTTACATTTGCCTCAACACAACAACGACAACAAAGCTTATAATCCTGTTTGGTTCTGTACGTATAGCCAAATCCTGAATTACTATATGGGTAAGCATATCATACAATTTGTCCTCTATCTCCTCTCGAAAGTGGTGAGAAACCAGGGGGACTCTGTGAAAGATCTCATGCCCCATTACTCCAAAGTTCTTTGTCTCCAAACTCAATTGGAAATGTCTCCAAGAGCTCAAATTTCAAAAGGATCCCTTCTTGTCACTATATCCTTCACCTATAGATCAAGAAAAAACACATTCAATTGGAAAGGTTTCATATCACGTAATCAAACACAATCATAGACCTAACCACTTATTTTATATTGCTCTGTCTTGATCGTAACAGGAATAGTTAAAAAGTGTTTATCACTTATCGTCATTTGTCTTCTGCTTCCACTTTATTTAGTTTATTTTATTACAAATGATAAGTTTAGCTTACATTCGCCTCAATACAAGAACAAAGTTTGTGACCTTGATTTGTTCTGTACATGTAGCCAAATCCTTAACTATTACATCAGAGAGCTTGTCATACAATTTGTCAAGTATTTCCTCTCCAAAGTGGTTTGAAACCAGGGATTCTGTGAGACATCTAGTGTCTTTAGCAAGTTTTTCCCCGTTAATCCATATTTCTTTGTCTCCCATCTCAATTGGGAATGTCTCCAGGAGCTCAATTTCAAAGGATCCCTCTCTGTTCACTATATCTTTCACTTCTTCTATAGATGGCACATAATCTGGTACGTCAAAAGAGTCCAACTTTTCTTCAGAAATCAGTCCCTGAGGGATAGAAGAGGACAAAAGTTAATAATATGGAAAAAAAAAATTGTGGGAGAATCGGTTGGCATGAACCTCAATTTGCGTTAAAATTAATCTGAGTCTTATAATTGAATGAAGTGACAAATAAAAGATTTGAAAAATTTGTAGTTACCAGAGAAACCAAATCAGCTATGGCCTTAGATAAAGGTTCCCAACAGAAACAAGTGTCTGTGGTTGAGTGTTCTGCAGATAGTCTCCCATGGAATATCAGGAAAACACGACCATCGTGTATCATTTCTTGAGAGCGTGACTTGAGAAACAAGCCGAAGTCTACTTGAAATTGAGCAAGATATGCTTCTTTTACTGCCTGAGAGCTCGTATCTGATATGTAAATCTTTCCCTTGTTCAATGGCAACCCTTCTATGTCTGTAAGTCTTGGTACCTTCCGATTCAATTAATCGTATAGCCTGAGAAATGATGGATATATAAAAGCTCACAACAATAAGCAGAGACATTAATACGCACCTTAGAAAGCCAACTGACGGCGTAGGAGGAATAGATGAGATGCATGGTGTTTGCGGGGAAAAGGCGGCCATGGAAAGAGCCAGGAGTGCCCATGACAAAGCAATGCAGATCATTATGTTTTTCAGTGAACTTTAACAAACCTTTGAAGAGTGTGTTAAAGTCATTTCCTGCTAGATCATTCAAGTAATATTGAAACTCTGGAATTTGATAATTCAATTCCTTGCATTTTCTTTTCACACTCTCTATCACAGTTTCAATCACAGAAAATGTGGTTGGTGTGGAAGAACAACCCAAATCCGCTACGTTCAGAACTTGGTAAGGGAGGACATCTTTGGAGAATAGAGACTGAACTGTGTTCTGTAGTGCAGGCTTGGACAGACCCGCAAGTTTTTGCTATATATTGCAAATTAATGATTGTAATCAACTTATGAGCAAAGCCATGGAAGCCAAACAGAAATTAAGCAAAAAAATAAAAAAAATAAAATGAAAGAACAAGAAAGCAAAGTACTGTAAATGAAGAGTTCTGATGGTAGCTGTTTTCGCCATCTCCTTTGTTCATGTAAAGCACTTCCTTCACCTCCATTTAGTACTCTCCTTCTTCCCAAGCAATAGACTAAAAGATGAAGAGATTATGAACTACTGAATTACGATTTTGTTAGTTTTGAGAGTTTGGCTTTGATGGGTTGAGAAGGTGAGATTTTTACTTGGTTTTGAGTCTGGATTTTCATAAGAACGGTTGATAAGTTTTTTTAATAAGGAAGGTGATGCAGGTGATGACGATTTAGTTTAAAAATAGGATTTGCTTTGATATGACATTTTAAAAAATAAAAGATTTAGCTTGAAATATTTTTGTTGACTTGCTGGGCACTGGTTCCCCATTTGGGTTAAAGAAACATGCTAGCCTTGCCTTTTCTTCTACTGAAAGGACATTCGTGGACCTAACCACTCTTAATTTTATATGATCTTTATATGAATAATCGCCACAAATATTACTTCAAAAATATTGGAGCTGTCTACTACTTGAGTATTAATGGACCACCTTGAAGCATTCGAGGGTTCCATTAATAAGTGATAAAAAATTATAGAATAAATTATTTTATTATAAACGAGAGAGGGAAGACAGTATTGAAATAATATTTTGACTATATTTGATGTACCCTGTTAATTAGATGAACCAAGGTAAATCGCGCGTATCTCTTCTTTTGTTTTACTGTTGTTATTTGTGTGTCTTTTCCTGTTATTTTGGTTTCGTATATCTCCATTTCGTTAAAAAAATTACGTGAAACAACCTTCATCTCTTAATTGTTTTTGGTTTCCACCTTATCCAGTTCATTTTATTACAAGATCATGTGAACAGTTTAGTTTACTTTCGCCTTAGTACAACAAGAAAGCTTATGATATTGTTTGGTTCTGTAGTGGTAGCCAAATCCTGGCTTAATAGACAAGTGAGATTATCATACAATTTGTCCATTATTTCCTCTCCATAGTGTGAAACTCCGTATGCTTTTGTCTCCAAGCTCAATTGAAAATGACTCCACCACTTCAGCTTCAAATGATCCCTGTGTTGCGATGGAATGTATAATGGCAAATTAAGAGTCCAAATTTTCTTCAGAAATTAGTCCCAGATTAGAGTAAAATAATTAGTTGGCTTTCAACCTCGAGTTGAATGCATTAACTAATTAATTGGTTCAATTTTATTGTGTACAAATAAGGTACGAAAAAATAGAGTGCAAGAGAGATCATCTCTGCTATGGCTTGAGCTATAAGTTCCCAACGGCAGCAGCTCTTTTTACTTGCAGGATCCGCAGAATGCCTTCCCTGGAGTATCAGGAAAACACAACCATTAGGTATCATCTCCCGAGAGCGTGAGTTGAGAAACGAGCAAAAGTGTTGTTGAAATTGAGCAAGATATGCTTCTTTAACAAAAGGTGGTGGGCTTGTTTTAGATATGTAAATCTTTCCTTTGTTGAACGGCAATCTTTCTTCATCAGTATATCTAGTTGTGTGTTCTATAGATAGCCTTCCATGGAATAAGAAGAAAACATGAACACTGGGCATCCTTTCTTCAGAGCGTGACTTGAGAAACAAGCCAAAGGTCTTGTTGAAATTGAGCAAGTTTTTCCTCAGTACTCCAAAATTCTTTGTCTCCAATAGCTCAATTTCAAAGGATCCCTAATTGCCCACTATATCCTTCACTTCTTGTAGTGATGGTACATAATCTGATGCATTAAAAGAGTCTTTAACTTCTCTTAAAAAATCAGTCCCTGTGGGATATATATATATATATAGGTAGATCACAGTCAATAGATTCTATGAATATATGAAGTTTACTCATTTTATTACTGGTTTCCACCTTATTCGGTTACAGATGGATGATGATGAGTTTAATCAGCTTACATACGCCTTAGCACAAGAACAAAGTTTGTGACCTTGTTTGGTTCTTTTTGTGTAGCCAACTATCAGTGAGCTGAGCGTACAATTTTTCAACTATTTCCTCACCAAAGTGGTATGAAACCAGGGACTCTGTGAAAGATCTAATGTCTTTAGCAAGTATTTCCTCATTACTCCAAAATTCTTTATCTCCAATCTCGATTGGAAATGTCTCCAGGACCTCAATTTCAAAGGATCCCTCCTTGCCCACTATATCCTTCACTTCTTGTAGCGATGGTACATAATCTGGTGCATCAAATGAGTCTAACTTCTCTTCAGAAATCAGTCCCAGTGGAATAAAACACAAAAAAAGTTAATAAATATATCTATGAAGATTGTTGAAGCTTCAAGGTGGAAGATGAATTGGCCTGAACCTCAATTTGCATGAACAAATATTTATCTCTAAGATGTGAAGACTTTGTAGTTACCTGAGAAACCAATTCAGCTATGGCCTCAGTTAAAGGTTCCCAACCGACGCAAGTCTCTTTAGTTGTGTGCTCTTCAGATACCCTTCCATGGAATATCAAGAAGACACGACCATTTTGTATCATCTCTTGAGAACGACACTTGAGAAAAAAGCCAAAATCTTCTTGAAATTGAGCAAGATATGCTTCTTTCACAACAGGAGGGCTTGTGTCAGATATGTACATCTTTCCCTTGTTTAATGGAAACCCTTCTTTGTCCCTAAGTGTTGGTACCTTCCAGTTCATGTAATCAGAACGCTTGAGAAATGATAATAAAAACTTACAACATGCAATAACTAAAATATGTAAGCAGAGATATATTCATACGCACCTTAGAGAGCCATTGGATAGCGTAGGAAGAATAAATGAGATGCATGGTGTTTTTGGGGAAAAGCCGGCCATGGAAAGAACCAGGACTGCCCATCACAAAGCAATGAAGATCACTATATTTTTCAGTAAAGTTTGACGAACCTCTGAAAAGCGTATTGAAGTCATTCCCGGTTAGATCATTCAAGTAAAACTGAAACTCTGGAATTTGACAATTCAATTCCTTGCATTTGATTTTCACATTCTGTATCACAGTTTCCACCACAGAAAATGTCTCTGATCCCGAAGAACAACCCAAATCCGCTACGTTCAGAACTTGGTATGGGAGGAAACCTTTGGAAAATAGAGACTGAACAGCGTTCTCTAGCGCAGGCTTGGCCATAGCTGCTACTTTTTGCTGTAATATTGCAAATTAATTGATGATTTTACTAAGCAGGCTAGCTCCAAAAGATAAATAAAATAAAAGAGCTATTTTCAGAGTTCTGAAGGTAGCTATTTTCTCCATCCCCTTTGTTCATGCAAAGCAATTCCTCCACCTCCATTGACACTGAGTTCTTTTCCTCTTCAATTAAAAAGATTATTGTAATTAAATAAATACTAACCCTCTATAATTTATGATTATTTAATTGAAAATATTTTACAAAAAGTTATCTTATGCGTAATTGTATGAAAAACTTAAGTTATAATAGAGTATAATTTGATATTAATTAAAGGTATTGAGTGCTTTCCAAATCTTCCTCCCTAACCAACGAATATTTATACCATCTTTTGTCATCATATATGCTGCTTTATTTCTATATAAATTTATATTTTTTATTTTTCATAAACCTCTTTCAGATAAATAGTAATTTTTTTTTTTTTTTTTTTTTTGCAATTCTAAGTGAAGTCTTTGTATCTTATTGGTGAACCTGAATAATTGAAATTCAACATACCTGTTGTCGTGTGAGAGTTTACGACAAGCTCGGAATGAGTGGTAGCTTGGAGAAAGCAATGCTCGGTTGGGTATAAGCAAGCAATGCTCGACAGAGTGAGCTAACCGGACAGTTTTCCTATAGATCACAAATGACACTTATCCGCTAGAATCAAGGAGAGAATTTCGGCATCTTACCAAGCAAGTCAGTGCGATTACACCAATCATATGATTAACTTCTTATGTTTGAACCACAATCCCTAAATTCACTCCACTTACCGTTATTAATTTCAGTGTATAAATAACCCTAAAAAACTCATTGTAAAGGGTTAGCAAATTTAGAGAGAGGAAAAGAGTTTTATTCTTATAATCCCTCATACTCAATACAAAAACAGTGAACGTAGGCTTGAGAGTTAACTCGCCAAACCACTTTAAAAAGAGTTATTGTCTTTTGATCTAATCTTCTTCGATGGTTATTTATAATCACACGACAAACCGATCCGGCTCCATCAAGGTCAATCGGGTCTCTCTAGTTGGTGCAATTTTTCGTACCAACACCGGTAACTTTCTTCTATTTTCGGTTGAAAACTAATTGAGATTAATGTTTTATTCCATCATAAGACGAAATCTCCTCCCTCCTTTTTTATTTAATATGAAGTTTACTGATCATAATAATAATGCTTATCATTTGAATTTTATATACTTAATAATCTTGTTCGATATCAACTTCCCCTAAAATCAACCAAAAAACAATTCAATTTGCAATTTGATTAGGGATCCAAAAGGATGCTATCAGTGAGCTTAGCCTACAATTATCCAACTATTGCCTCTCCAAAGTGGTATGAAACCAGAGACTATGGGAAAGGTCTAATTCTAATGTCTTTAGCAAGTTTTATTTCCCATTATTCCAAAGTTCTGTGTCTCCAATCTCGATTAGAAACGTCTCCAGCATACATCAATTTCAAAGGATTCCTCCTTGCCCACTGCATCCTTCACTTCTTGTAGTGATAGAATATAATATGGTGCATCAAAATAGTTTTACTTCTCTTTAGAAATTTAGTCCCAGTGGGATAAAAGAGAAATTGACAAATTTGTAGTTATTTCATTGAACAAGGGAAACCAAGAAAATTTTGCAGTCATTTTTTGCAATGGGTTTCTTGTTGGCAGGGAAGAGAAGTAAATTTAAAAGTTGGAAAATTTTCATTTTGATACTTCAAAAAGGGTTTTATTAAGCAATTTTCCCGTAAATCTTTCCCTTGTTCAATGGCAACCCTTCTTTGTCTGTAAGACTTTGATACTTTCCGATTCAAATAATACAAGAAAAAACTTCATCTCTTATCCTCATTTGTTTTTGGTTTCCATCACATTTAGTTTATTGATTACATATGAGGATAGTTTACCTTAAATTCGCTTCAACACAACAGTAAAGCTTATAATATATTTTGGTTCTGTAGTTGTAGCCAAATCCTGACATAATATGATTGAGCTTATCATATAATTTGTCCATTATTTTCCTCTCCATACTGGTGTGAAACCAGGGCCTCTGTGAAGCGTCTGATCTCTTTACCAACCTTATCAAAATCACTCCATACGCATTTGTCTCCAATCTCAATCGCAAATGACTCCAGCAGCTCAACGTCAAAGGATCCCTCCCTCTCTACTATATTCTTCATGGCGATGGGAAGTACAATGGCACACTAAAAGAGTCCAACTTTTTCTTCAGAAATTAGTCCCTGATCAGAGTAAAGTAATTAGTTGGCTTTGATTTCACCCTCGAGTTTCATGTATTAACTAATTAATTGGTTCAAATTTATTGGGTACATATATATAAGATATGAAAAAGTCATGCAAGGAGCGAACAGATCATCTCTTTTATGGCCTGAGCAGCTGAGCTAAAAGTTCCCAACGGTAGCAGCTCTCTGTACTTGCAGGATCCGCATGATTCCTTCCGCGGAGTACCAGTATAACACGACCATCAGGTATCATCTCCTGAGAGCGTGAGTTGAGAAATAAACCAAAGTCTTGTTAAAACTGAGCAATATATGCTTCTTTAAAAGCAGGAGGATAGTTAGTCCAAAATCAAGATATGCTTCTATTTTGATTAAGAAAAAACTTGAAACAGAAAAAATAATGTAACTGAATAAACTGTTCCGTGCCTCATTTTGGTGTTGGAGTTGTCCAACTCTTCATCCAGAGGCATTCGGGGTCCCGTTGTCCAGTCAGTGGACGGGGCCCGCTCCTTGGTGAGTAGGCAGGGGTTGCAGGGCAGCACCCCCGAGCCCGTAGATGGTTTGGGCTTTTTCTATGTACAACTGTAAATGATTTCTTTAATTTATTAATTTCTTATTGGGTTTGAACTTATGAATATGAATCCTTATAATATTAGGTTTTAGTAATTTAAATTTAGTATATAAATATATTTTTCTTTTGTAATAAGTGATAACAAATCATTGGACAAATTACTTCATTGTAAACGAGAGAGATGTGATAATATCGAAATAATATTGATTATGTTAGACATAGTCTGTTAATTGAGTGAACCAATGTAAATCGCGTGTATCTCTTCTTTTATTTTATTGTTTATGATTTATGTGTTTTTCTATTATTTTGGTTTCAGATATCTGTATTTCGCTAATTTGGACTAACTTTAGCCTAATCAATCTCTTATGTATAACTGAGGCCCATTTATCAGATAAAAAACAAAGAATAATACTACACTAACAACCACCTCTCACAAACTTTCTCTCACAATTCTGATACAGCAGCTCGCAATTGGTTAGTTCATTATGAGTCTCATAAGGTTCCTACTAATTAATTATGAACTGTCACATCCAGTTGTGAGAGAAAGTTTGTGAAAAATGATTGTTGGTGTAGTATTACTAAAAAAACAAAAGCCACAAAGAAATGAAATAATTAACACACTTCACAGTAATTATTTCCTTTATTCCAATTCATATGATAAGTTTAGCTTACAATCTCCTCAAAACAACAACAAAGCTTATGACTTCGCTAGGTTCTGTACGTGTAGCCAAATCCTGAAGTACTATTTGGGCAAATTTATCATACAATTTGTCAAGTATTTCCTCACCAAAGTGGTGTGAAACCATGGACTCTGTGAAAGATCTCAGGTTTTTAATAAATTTTTCATCGCTGCTCCATACGCTTTTGTCTCCCATCTCAATTGGAAATGTCTCCAGGACCTCAAGTTCAAAGGATCCCTCCCTGTCCACTATATTCTTCACTTCTTTTTCCGATGGAATGTAATATGGTACATTAAAAGAGTCTAACTTCTCTTCAGGAATCACTCCCTGAGGAATAAAAATAGAACAAATTTAAACGATATGAAGCCATAATTCAACAGAAAAAATTCTCTTAAGTGGGAGACTTTGAAGTTACCAGAGAAACCATGTCAGCTATGGCCTCAGCTAAAGGTTCCCAGGGCTCTCCATTTGTAGGATCTTCTGATAGTCTTCCGTTGATTATCAAGATAACACGACCCTCTCGTATCATCTCATGAGAGCGTGACTTGAGAAACAAGCTGAAGTCTTCTTCAAATTGAGCAAGATATTCTTCTTTAAGAGCGGCTGGGCTAGTTTTAGATATGAAAACTTTCCCCTTGTTTAATGGCAACCCTTCTTTGTCCATAAGTCTGGGTACCTATCGTTTAATAAAAAGTAATTAATCATGTAAATCCTAGATAATACCTCACCACGATTACGGAGATATTAAATATGTTGAAAAATGGCTTTTAACAAAATCACATGGGGTAGAAGTGATAATAGAGAAAGGTTTAGCGACTTATATAAAGTAGGTCAAAATGAGTTAGTTTATCCCACATTGAAAAAGAATGAAAAGTGGAAAACTTTTGGGGTCTATATATAAGGATCTAAATCAATGTTATTTGTATCCCAAGTTGTAATTCCATTATACTTCTTTTGTTTAGGGTTCTTTCTTTAAAGACTCTTTAGTTTGCAAGTTTTGTTGTATTTCCCATTTGTTTTGGGAAATACAACAAATACCCAAAACAAAGGGGAGATACAACAAAACTTGCAAACTAAAGGGTCCTTAAAGAAAGAACCCTAAACAAAAGAAGTATAATAGAATTACAACTTGGGATACAAATAGCATTGATTTAGGTCCTTATATATAGGCCCAAAAGTTTCCCACTTTTCATTCCTTTTCAATGTGGGACAAATTAACTCATTTTGATCTATTACATATAAGTCCCTAAACTTTTCTCCATTATCACTTCTACCCCATGTGATTTTGCTAAAAGCCATTTTTCAACAAATCTCCACCTTGGCGAATTACCAAATCTGCAAAATTTTGTATTCTTCTGCCAAATTTTGCAACACCTTCAAATGCACCAAAAGGCACAGTCAAGCTCGCAGGATGTTCATCAAGTTCAAACAATAAATGAACTTGACCCTTGTCACTACTGAAGTTAACATGTCTGCAGGATTATCTTCTGTGCCAATCTTCTGGAGAATCATTTTCTCATTTTCAATATAATCCCACACAAAAACTAAACCAATATCTATAGTACATAAAATATACTATAGAAACCATTTCACAACTTGCAAATGTCATTTACCAGGATCATGCATATGCCTGCTCACCATACTAACTGCTTGTGAAATATCAGGCCTTGTGTACCCATGACCCATCATACATTGATCAAATCGCTTGTACCACTGTCTTGGTGACTACTTCAAACTATATAGCGATTTCTTCAATCTACAAACCCAAGTTTTCTTTCTAGCAACCCTATAATCATCTGGCTGAGTCTTGTAGATTTCCTCTTCCAAACTACCATGTGAAAACACGATTTTCACATCCAATTGAACTAGTTCGAAATTAAACTGTGCCACCAAGGTTAGCAAAATTAGAATGGAAGAATACTTTACCACAGGAGAAAACACTTCACTGTAATCAAATCCTTCCATTTTAGCGTATCTCTTTACTACTAACCTAACCTTGTGTCAAACATCTTCTCTATTAGGAAGTCCCTTCTTCTTTGCATTCACCCATTTGTACCCAATCGCCTTCTTATGTAGGGATCGCATTTCATCATTCATGGCCGATTTCCGTGATTCACAATTTGAACTAGAGGTGGATGGTAGGCTAACTAGACAGAAATCTGACTCATCCTCTTCACGCTCAACAACGCATGCATCAGAAGTAGCTTTGCCCTCTTTCTTTTGAACTTCGGACAATCTTTCTTCCAATGCCCATTCTCACGACAAAAGGCACATTGATCCCAACCGAGTTTTCCCTTCGAACGAGATCTTTCTCTTCTCTCATTCTTATGACTCTGACTCCACCCTCCTGCTACAAGTGCTTCTGCTGACTCATCTCTATTCTCCTTCTGATCCTTCTTCCGAATTTCATGATTGGACAGAGCAGAACAAACTTCTTCAAAGGACAATTTTTCTTTCCCATGAAGAAGTGTAATACTAAGATGATCCAACTCATCCGGAAGAGATCTAATTAGCAACATAGCTTTATGTTCATCTTTGAATGTTTCATCCAAATTTAACAAATCAGTAATTAATCTGTTAAATGTATCAATATGGCTACTGATATTTGTACCTAGTCTCAACTGAAGACGAAACAGTCTTTTCATTAAATAGAGCCGATTCTCATTACTTCTTTTCATATATTTGTTTTCCAGCGCCTTCCATAACTTATTGGCAGACTTCTCTTTCATGAATGGATATTTCTGCTCTCTACAAAGACATGAGCGAATCAATGTTATTTGTATCCCAAGTTGTAATTTCATTATACTTCTTTTGTTTAGGGTTCTTTCTTTAAGGACCCTTTAGTTTGCAAGTTTTGTTGTATCTCCCATTTGTTTTGGGTATTTGTTGTATTGCCCAAAAGTTTGTAATATTGTTTGGAGATAGTGGAGTTTTCTTTTGCAGCGCCCGAGGACGTAGGTTTCAATACCGAACCTCGTTAATTCCTGGTATTCTTTATTTTTGCATTTAATTTTGGCAATTTATTTATGCTTTACTACTTGTATTATTATATTCAATAAGCTAGCGTTAGAGTTTATGTTTCCGTTGCATAACAATTGGTATCAGAGCCTAGGTTTAGGACAGTGAGTAGCTATTTGTATGGTTATATGCATGTCTAGGAAAATTCTGTCAAAAAGACGATAAAAGTCTAAGGAGACTGGATTTTAAGTGGGACCATTTGTGACCCCTCCATTGTTTCCTGGGAATTTTCCTGGTGCGTATTTAATCATTTCAGCACTTNAGAGACTCAACTACCTTCTCTAGTGCAGGCTTGGACATAGCCACTACTTTTTGCTGTATCGCAAATTAATAACTGTAAGTTCATAGCAAGCCATGGAACCAAAACAAAAGTTAAGAAAATAAATCATACCGTAAATGAACGGTTCTGAAAGAAGCCACTTTCTCCATCTCCTTTGCTCATGAAAAGCATATTCTTCACCTCCATGGTGTCTCTTTCTGTTTCTGGCAGTATCTCCTTTGATTTTTGTACTATATAAACTACATGTACATGTTTAAATTTATTCCTATTCCATTGAAGGAGAGAAGGAGCTACAAAACAAAAATAACCGCTAATAATTCACTTGAATTGGTCATTGTATCAGACTTTGCAGAGTCCACCGACCCAATTGTTTTAATTTAATGGGTAGTGGCCATTATTAGGTTCTTACTACGTAAACAAACACATCAGTAGACTTTCAGCTACCTTATTTTATATTCTTCTTTCTTGATCGATCACCAGTAATTCAACAACCCAAGTGTAAGAATAATGGCAATAAAAGAATAAAAAATCAAGAATAAGAATAAATAGCCAAGTTGTCTTTGTTCCATGAAGATTCTTGTTTAACCAAAGAAAAATAAAGAACAAGAAACAGAGAAAAGATTCTAGAGAAGACGAGAAAGAATTGTGAATTTCTTCTTCTAATTTTTCTAGCTGAAATCTGTTACAAGGTAGCAATGTTTTTATACATTGAATATAGAGTAAAACGCACCGTTTTCCACTTAAGTTTTATTCTATTACAACACAACCCAGATATTTGTTTTATTACAAACACAACCCATTCTTCTACCTGCGTTCCAATATTCCTTACAAAAGCAAGAAACATCATGCATCATCAAGGAGAAGGTAAACGAACATTTCTCCTAAGCACAAGAATGATGCTTGTGATCTTGTGTGGCTCTGTTTGTCTCGCTAAATCTCGGATTAAAATATGAGTAAAATTCTCATACAATTTATCAAGTATTTCTATTCCGAATTGGTGTAACATCATGGACTCTGTAAAGGATCTGATGTTTTGAGCAATTTTTTCTTCGTTATCCCAGATGGCCTTATCTCCATTCTCAATATAAAATGTGTCAAGTTGCTCGATTGCAAAAGACCCTTCTCTGTCCACTACATCCTTCACTTCCTCTGGTGACGCCATGTAGTATGGTATATTAAACGAGTCTAACTTTTCTTCAGCAATCAGTCCCTAAANTTTTTAGTCATTTTATAATAAAATGTACTTATAAGCCACATTTTACCAAACATGTCAACTACTTATCAGTCACTTATAAGTACTTTAACCAAACACGTAATTGCTTAAAATCTCAAATGCTTATAAGCTAAAATTAGCTTATAAGTACTTGTTGCTTATAAGCTAATTTTCATAAGCTTAGACAAACACCCCCTAAGCCAATCCACAGACCATGTTCTAGAATAAATTGAAATATTTTCCTTAAAGAACGGAAATCATTTCTCTTGATACATACTAACTACTTCAATTAATGTTGTCTCACCTTAGCGTGAAGCTTCAACCTGAATCCAAGAATTATACCGGCACGCCAACGCAATAGAATGTTTCCAAGTTAGCCCACATAGCCACATGCTGCCACCCACATCCTCTAGTCACCCCTGTCACACATGGTTAATCCCTCAGTATAGATGGAAAATTAATTTGATGCATGCAAAAATGGATATATTTAGTATTGTATATATAAAAACCTCATTGGCGGCTTCAATGGCGGAAATTAACGCCACAAAGGCCACTAATTCTATTGCCTCAATCAAGCGATTATGTTGAAACATTGATATTTTGCTGGAAATTTAACTGAAAATTCAGTTGGTTTTGAAAATATTTTGGCACCAAAGGAGCACTCTGTCTGCCTACTATCTGCCATGAATGGAGCTGCTGTGGTTGTTAGATTTTGGTGTCATGTTTAGGTGCTCTCAGCTATGATTTAGGGTGTATTAGTTATAAATATTGTTTTTAAATTTCAAACCTGTAAATGTACTGATTGTTGTAACAGTAAGCATTTTGGTTGTATAAAATTGTAATGTTAATTATAATGAAAAATAACTTTCGCTCAACTCAATTTCCTCTCCTCTTTCCTTAGTATTCACCGACACTAAACACCAACAATTGGTATCAAAGCCACATTAAAACCTGAAATCTCTCCCCCCCACATTCAATCATCCATCTTAGCTCAAGAACATCTTGTTCCAGTCTTCTTATTCTTCCTGCTTCAAATATCTAAACTGTACCAATGGCTGCTCAACCAGCCTTGATGTCACCTCCAGTGTTCAATGGAGAATGTTATCATATATGGGCTGTAAAAATGAAGGCTTTTCTCCGGGGTTAGGAGCTGTGGTAGTATGTGGAAAAGAACAGGTAGCCACCACTGTTGGGACAAAATCCCACTCTGAATCAGATTCAAATGCATTGAGAGCCCTATCCCACATCCATGCTACTGTAACAGACCTTGTATTCACAAGGATTATGGCATATAAAACTCCAAATGAGGCGTGGGATAAGTTGAGAGAGGAATACATGGGAAGCAACACAACAAGGAATATATAGGTGCTGAATATAAGAAGAGAGTTTGAGATGTTGAGGATGCAAGAACCAGAGATGGTTAAGGAGTATGTTGACGGGTTGATGAGTGTTGTCAACAAAATTAGGCTGCTTGGAGTGGAGTTGACAGATAGGAGAGTTGTGGAGAAGGTCTTAGTAAGCTTGCCCGAAAGAGTTGAGTCCAAAATCTCCTATCTTGAGGACTCAAGGGATATGGGGTAGATTACTTTTACAAAGTTGGTTCATGTGTTGCAAGCACAAGAGCAAAGAAGGTTGTTGAGGTAAGAAGATGCAAGTGAGGGTGCAATGATGGCAACTCACAAAAGTAAATCAGTTCAAGGGAACAATAGGAGATATGCCGGTGATAAAAAGGGGAAAGAAATGAGCAATAGTCAGTGGAGAAAACCAGGTGGGATAAGGAATATCCACCTTGCTCTCACTGTAAAAGGAATGGACATTCTGAGAAAAGATATTGGTTTAAGTCAGGGATACAGTGCAAGGCCTGACAACAGTTTGGCCATATAGAGAGGGTCTGCAAGAACAAAGGAGAGTAGTCCAAAAGCAAGCTCAGGCGACTGATGATCAACAACCAGAGCAAGGGGCATAACAACTATTTATAGCCTCCTACAGTGCAACACCAATAAGCTATGAAGGCTGGCTGGTTGATAGTGAATGTACAAACCATATGACACCAAACCTGCGAGACTTTGTCAAATTGAATCCAGCACATTGGTCCAGAACCAAGGTTGCAAATGGTGAGTTTGTTAAAGTAAGGGGAAGGGAGATGTTGCTGTCCAGACTTCAATAGGTACAAAA